TCACCATATTAATATCAATATTCCAGATGCTATTACTACTGGAAGAGGTATTAATATGATACAAGAATTCTTGATCTTAACTGCAGAAGAGCCCAGCAACTATACAGAAATCTTGCCAGAAATGCATAATTATTTAGAGAATTGATGGAGACTAGTCAAAGAATAAGACTTATCCACTAATGGCTATATTCACTATATTAAAGATACAATGTATACCAAGAACAATAAAAGAAAATTTGATATTAGATGGACCAACATCATTTGCAAATCTGATGATGTCCAAATTTCAAGCTCTCTACTATCTCATGGAGCCCATGGTCCATGCAAAAAGGTCCAACACACTATACTACCCTGGTATGTGGCAATCCAAGAGAACCATGAATATCTAGAAGTCAATAAAGCTGGTACATGGTTCCAGCTCTCCACTGTATATAAAGATTTAGTTCCAGAGCCTTTATCTTCATTCAGCCATTCAAATTATTATGCATCAGTTCCATATTGATTCTCTACCACTATTCAATTACAAGGCTTAGAAGCTATATCAGATGCTCTGGTAGAATAAATTAGATGGGACAATCTCATGGTAATTGAGGAACTCAATATTCTCTTTGGCTCTGATAACAAAAAGACTCAGAACTTCATTAATAACTGGTGTCTAATGGCCATGCAAATTGCTCTGGATGCCATTGTCAAGACTTACTAAATTAAAAAGAAAGCTTTTGATAATAAATTCTATTGACATTATGTGCACAACAATATTGACCCAGTATCAGTTTGGCCTTCTCCTTCTTCTGAGAACTTGATGAAAGAAGAGAATCATGATAATCACTATTAGAGATTGCTGCTATCACTCTCCTTATTCTTATTTCCTATATTTTTCCTTATCAGACTGCTCATTACTATTTATTATTCTCTTATTTTACTAAATTGGTTTTATTTTATTTTATATATTGTTTGTTGTCAGGGGACACCAATATTAAAGGCCAGGAGAAAATGTAGTAAGAATTCTAGAATAAAGATTGTTCCAGTCCAAGGTGCAAACCACTCCAAAGCTACTATTCTTGAGCTATATAAACCATCTGTAGCTCCTGCATCTTGCTTATTACCTTCATGCACCATGGCTCTTTTCTACACACTCATTCCTTACTACCAGTTTGGTTATTAGTTAGAGAATATGAAGATTTCTTGTTTATGAAACTTGCTACTGTTTTTCATTAGAGCTGCCTGTATTAGTACAGGGCTCTTTAGTACTATTACTTCTTGCAAGCTTAGGCATCTGTTAGAACATATCTATCTCTACACTTACTACTTGACCATACCCTTACTATATGGTGATTTTTCACCTTTCTTGTGCTCTCACCATATCAACCAACTCGCCTACTTTGATGAGGCATCCCATCATACCCTGCTCCACTAGCAGCTTGTTTCAGTCTGTAGAGTCTCTGATGTAAGAGCTCTACTAGATTACCCTGCCTGTGCTTGAATCCAGTGAGTAGTTGAATGTATACATATTTGTTCTCTGAAAGAGTTTTATTTAGAAAGATTATCACAAAGTCAAAGACTCTGATCTTTCAGTTCTTAACTGTTGAGATAGCAAAGAAGACTCTTGTTGTAGATTCACTAACAACTGCTGTATAGATATTCTTGTAGTGAACATCTTCTTGCTGTTTGAATTTATGTATAACTTAACAGATTTTAAATTATACTGTGCCACCTGTATTATTAAGCTTTCTATTAAATACTTATTTGCCAGAGAGAATCTGCATTTGAGATTTCTTCTTAACTAAAATTCAGATGTCTTTCTCTTGTAATTTGAAGATTTCAACATTTAGAGCCTTCTTTCAATAAAGTCATTCTTCAGAGTGTTTGACTTTGATAATGGATTTTGGTATATCTGTATGTGTACTGAGCACTGGAAGCTCAGCTTTATTTGTCTCTTCTTTCTCTGTAGTATCTGAGAGAATTTCTTGCTCTTTGTCTAGATATGTAGACTTTAAAGCCTCTAATTTGCTGTCTGTAAGCTTCTTCATAATTTCTGGCTTCTTCTTTGCAAGATAAGCTAGTAGCTTGTGTTGCCAGTCATTTAATAAATCTATGTAATTGTACTTCTTCAGAAGTTCAACATATTCAGCTTTAGTTAGTGAATTTGTAGAAATTTGATCTAATTTCTTGTTGAATATAACATCTTGCAAGATCATTATATTGTTTGTTTCTGGGTTCCAAAGCCTGTAGATATGCATGTCATGATATTCTATAAATTTAATCTTCTTAAATCTAGATTGAAGCTTCAAGAATTTCTTCAAAATCTTTATATAGATGTTACATCCCCATCTATAGATTCATCTGTAATGGGGTTGGTGATCTGTTCAGACTTTAAAGAGTGTCAATGACTTTGTGTTCTTGCATCTGTATAGAGGCACTGAGATAGGTAATAAATTCACTATTATAGAGACTGTAGCAAGAGCTTTACCTCATAACTTATTGAGTAGTTCTGAGTTTATAAGTATGCTTCTTATTTGCTTGCAAAGAAGTTGTATTTCTTGTTTACTTGTTCTATCTTGTTGAGATGTATATAGGCATATAATCTTCTGTTATATACTCTTGCTTCTGTAGAATTCAGCCAGTTGTTGACTTGTCAATTTAAGAGCTTTATTAAACAGTATAATGCTGATCTTTTGTTCAGTAGATACTTTAATTATATTGATTCAGTTCTTCACAGTTTCTGGAGCTTCTATCTACTTCTTCAGAAGGTACATTCATCTGTATTGTGTGGCATTATTTATTATAAGTAGGAAATACTTTGCTCTGCTATAGCTTGGAGAATTGAAGTCTGTAAATAAAGTATGGCCACCACCTGTAATATCAATAAAAATTTTAGCTCCAGGCTTTATAGAGTGTGTTCTAGATTTGAATAGGTTGTAAGCTTGCTTAGCTTTAGCACAGATTTTACAGAACTCTAGCTTCTTTACTCTCTTTATTTGCATTGCCATTTTCAGATCTCTAGCTAGAATAGCTATATCATAGGTGTTGAGATGCCTTCAGTATTTGTGCTAATTGGCCATCATATTCTTCTTGATTTCTGGTGTCTTTGCTAGATGATTCAGTGCCAAAAGTGTGTCATCTCTATCTTTATTCTCCAGAGTTGCTGTTATATAGCAGGGCTCTAGAAGTTTTATAGATACTGGAAACATATATGTTAATAAATTACATATTCTAGGTGTTTGTAGAACTAGAATGTCATTCTTATTAAGTACAGCTTCAAAGCTCTGTATTTTATCTGCTGATTCTAGTAGAAAGATGTGTTCTTCATTAATATAAAGCTGTTCTACTGTAAAGCTGTCTTATATAAGCTTCCCAAAGCTTATGAGATTAATCTGGAGATCAGACATAATTCTAACCCTCTCAATACTCAATTCTCTGTTGCCAGTTTGAATACTAGTCATGCTAAATTCTCTGGTAACTGATTTCAAACTGTTTGCCATAAGCAGTTGTGTTGCATAGCTCTTTGGGTCCATTTGAACTAGATCTGTACATGAGATCATATAGAATCCAGCTTCAGAGTCAAGAATTCATCTGTCTGTAGATTCACATACTTCTCTTGTAGAAAAGACTGCTTTATAAACTAAATAAATCTTGTTTATTGCAATTATAGTTATTTTCTTGTCTTTGCTTTTAGAGTCTTTCTTAGACTTGTTAGACTTTGAATTCTTGTTAGATTTGCAAAATTTAGCTAAATAACCAGATTTGCTATAAATATAGCAGTTTCAGTTCTGCAGTAAGCTCTTCTCTGAATTGGATTCAGAGTTCATATTTTTGTAAGACTTTTAAGAATCTGAGCTTGTTGTATTTGTATTTGACTTTGTAGATTTATTTTTCTTCTGATCTTTCTTAAGAATTTGATGAAGAATATTCTTCAGTAGATCTTTCAGATTCTTCTTTAATAGATTTATTTCACTCTGACATATCATATTAAATCAGTTCTGTATGAACTCTCTCTATCAGAACATAATATTCATCTTTAAGATATTATATAAAGTGTGGTCCAGTTGTTTGAATTCTAATCTCTTAAATTCTCTACAGATTACTAGAAATCTCTCTATATAATTTCTTTCTGAGCCAGCAGATTGTAGTGTTATTCTTACTAACTCTGTAAGTAGACTTTTCTGCTGTATTTCAGATCTCTCTTGAAAGACTGTTCTTACAGCTTTCCAGAGTTTATAGACACTAAGACTATCTAATTTCTTAAAGTATTCTCTGGCTTGTGCAGATATTGTGCTGTTAATTAGACTGTATAGTCAATTATTCTGAATATTCTAGTATTATAAAATCTTCAAGTGCTCTGACTGTAGTGAAGTCTCTTGTCTTTCCAGAATAATCTTCTCAACATCTACTTGACAAACTACTTTTAGAATGGCTTTGCTTTATGCTAGATAGTTACTAGCTCTAGCCAAAGTTATAAACTTCTTTACTGTTTTTATAATCTTTATAAATTGAGTGATTGCTTTACTGATTCACATATTTATGTCTATAAGATTGTTAATATATTCTTCTAGTTTCTTATTAGAGTCTATTTCTTGATTCTCTTCTTCTTCTTGTTAAGCTTTGTGCTCTAGATTCTCCTACATTATTGCAGATGTATTTGCAGTGCTTGCTTAATCTGATAGAAGATTCATCTGCTGTATCAGCTGTTATATTATTTTCTGTTATCTTTATATTAACTTTTGTTGCTTTTGTATTATCTTTTGTTGATTCAGTATTATTCTGCACAATATTTAAAGTTCACTCTTCTCTCTAGACTTCTGCTTATTGTTTGGTGGGCTGTCTCTAAGTCTACTTGACTATCTAAGCTTAGTTTGAGATGTAGAAAGATTTGTTAAAGTCTTTTAATTAGAAGTTCAGTATTCTGGTTTATCTGTATAGTTTATCATGGCTTTGGTGTTGCCAGATGCTTGATTTGCTTGCTAGATGTGTTTAGCAGATGTTTTGCTCACTCTCTAATCATGTGCCAGAAAGCTATAGAGTTTAACTCACTCTTCAGCTTGGTGCTAGAAAGCTACAGAAGTTGCATATATAAAAGGTGTCTATCTTAATATATGCTCTCTCTTATGCTTGTAAAATCTTGTTATCTACAAGAATAACTGTTCACTATGTTGATTGTAAGCTTCAATATCCAATTGAGCTGTAAATCAATCTTATATGCTTGCTCTTCAGTGCAAAGGGCTCATAACCTGATGGAGGACTTGTATGCTTGTCATTCACTAAGCTTCCTAAAGGGGAATCTCGGCTAATCTATGTGGGTCACGTGAGCGAGGTGCTAGTTGGATTACCTAACACAGAGGAAGAGACGGACTATTGATGATCCTGGCCGGCAAACTGGATCTGGGAAATCCGCAAAGGGACTAGCGCAGAAGTCTGGAATTCAGCCACACTTACCCCACAATGAGCTCGTGGGCCAATCACATGCTCGGCAGCTGAGTGTGGGGAAGCAGGGCCGCGTACAGGGCATGTACGAAGTAATGAAGTACTGTAAAATAACACTCCGATACCAGCCTGTCTTCTCGCAGCGACTTCAAAACGAGCTTGTGTTCCATGACTTTTCGTTCCCCTTGTGTAACTACCGTACACCTGTATTGTATGTATCGAGCCCGTATGTCCTGTGCGGCCCTGGCGGGCGGTAACTTTTCACGTGCCCCCCGCCGCGGAAGCTCGATCTCCGCAGGCCCACGGAAGCTCCTCCGGCCGGCCAACCCACCGTCTCCACGCCATCCATCGATCTCACCTCGTCCCCTCCACCACCCATCATCCTCCCTCAGCAGCCAGCTTGTGCTCGCGTCCCTCCAATTCCACGCTATTCCTAGTCGCTGCTCGCCTCCAACCCCAATTGCACCGACTGCCTCACCACCGGTGTGACTTCGGTCGACCCCGAATTTTCAATTGCGGGCCCCCCCCCCCCCCCCCCCCCCCCGGTTGGAATCCCAAAATCCCCTCGACCCTGTAACTAGCTAATCCTGCTTGCTGTTCCCCGACCCAACTCCTCTTATCTCTATTGGATGCTCTCACCGCCACCCCGCAAACGAGCTCCCTAGTTGCCACCCTCCACCTTCGGGCACTTTGCACGCTTGGTCTCCATTATTCTGAAAGTTGGCTTGGGCTGGCTCAGCATCACCTCCCCTACCCTCGCAATGGGGTATTAGACACTTCCTGCGGGCACCTACATCGCGAAGTCTCTGCCCAGGAGTCTGGAAGGCAGCTTAATCCAGTTATCTGTACTTTGCTTCCCTGCCCACCCAGCGTATTCCTTCAATAAGTCGACATCTCCCCGCCGTTCACTCCCGTCGACCGGGTCCTCCTCCGTCATCCACCCCTTGGCTTGTTTTCAGCTTACTAGGATATCAGCTGCCCTTTTTCTGGCGTGATGTCTCAAAGATCGAATTCTCCTCCATCTCCAACCAAGCCTCGCCGGCGACGCTCGTCTTTCACCGAGCTTTTCCAGAAGCAGGGCAACGTTGCTTCCCCAACTACCGGCTCGCATCCTCGACCCATCTACACCCCTAGCAGCGCCCGAACCCAGCAACAGCGGAGGATGTCCCTTAATACATTGGGCCTTTCTGGTTCCCCCACCCAGATGTCTCCATTTGCAGCAGCTTCCATGCGCCGTGGTAGCGTCTCAAGCTCTGTGATGTCGACTTCACCGACAATGGACCAAGCCGTCGTCGAGGAAGCCGAAGAGGAGACCCCAACGACGGCCCCTGCAACTCCTTTTGCTCGCCGCGTCTCGTTTGGAGCACCGGCATTGCGTGGGAGCGGAAATGGTACATATCACCCCCTGTGGAATGCACGTTCCCCAAGAAATCGATCATCGTCGCTGTTTGGCAACACATCGCCCAACAGCGATGGAGTTGTACCTAGCGCAAGTACTTCACAACATCATTTCCAGAATGTCAAATCTAACCCGTCTTCTTACCGTAAACTAGCAGAAGGTTTCAATTGGCCCGAGTCTCTCAGGGTAAAGGCGGAGCGCGCACCCTCACTTGGGAATTTTCCTCCTACGTCCCCGACCCTACCGCATGCGGGTATGATTCACCAACGTTCGGCTTCAATTGCAGCCATGGAGGCACCACCGCCCGAGCGTGCGGAGCTGCCAAAACAGTCCCAGCATAAGTCGAGACCGAAGCCGGACTACTTCCAAGAGAAGATCTTACGAGCCGACTTCATGGACTAAAGGTTCAGGGCTATTTTTCTTTCCCTCTCCTCCCCCTACCTACAAATTATTCAATACGCTTGCAAGTGCTTGTATTTCACGGGCTTGGAATTTCCAAGGGATTGGGGATTCGAAGCATTGTGGGTTATGGAAAGTTCATATTCTGGCAGTCTCCTTTCTGATGAATGAAGCTGCAATTTTATAAGTGGATGGTCCCGCTTTGATGACATCACTTAGTTGTAAAGGTTGTGGGTTCAAAGCATGGATGTTGTGTTATGATGCATGTTTCTCTTGATTTTGCTATGGTCCCGGGATGAATGTCAGGAAACAGATATTTTGCATTTACTCATCCATACATGGTATGTCTGTGACCTGCTGGGAGTTGGGGACGTTGATTTCTCTCCCCTTTTCTTTTTTTTTCTTTTCTTTTTTTGTTTCACTTCTGTTATTGTCTCACACATACTTATCCTACATGACCTAACAAGTCCCCATTCCTTTCTGCTCTGGACGAGCAAGTATTGGATAGCCTCTGAAATGCGCGGGCCCACTCTTCACACCACTGAGGGCTCTTTTCTTCTTTAAGCCATTTTCTTGCATATCTGTTTCTCCGGGCTGCAAAGGCACGTATCAGTTCCTGTGAGTTTATTCATTTCGCTCCTCCTTTGAATATCAAATGGACCCTGTAGCTAGTTATATAGTCTTTGCCGATGTTCCATACAAGAATACCCTTGAACGAAAACTACACAGTCATACTACATTAGCCCAAATGTATGGGCCTTTTTTGCATTTTTAAAAGTTTGTACAAAAGGACACCTGCACCTGAACAACCAGAAAATATTTCCAGAAGGATTTCTTTCTCTATGATCCGCCAAAAGCTAAATTCTTCCCCTCGATGTATCGTTTAGGAATCAGTAAAGTACAAAAGGCCTGGGGGGAAGAAGAATTGCTCATTCCATATAGTTAATTAATAGGGGATGTTATTAGACCACAGCTGGAACTGATCATAAGCTCCCGTCGACATGCTCGCATAACTCTTTCGAATCAGCTCCCTCATAAACTGAGCTGCTTCATGTTCACTCTTGTCGAGCACAAATCTATCACGAAAATTCTTCAAGGTGTCTGGTTTGAAGCACGGCAAGCCGCTGTCGAGCATTAGTGTGACAATCTGTGCCAGTTTCGCCTGGTAGGGACGCGAGGCGAGGAAAGCTTTGACAACGAGCGCTTCGAACCAACGGTATGACTGGGAATTTAGATGATGGTGCGTAGATATTCCTGGAAAGGACAATCCGCTGCTCTCGGTAGGGGGTTGATGGTGCTGATAAGGTGCCCGTCCACCCATGACAGCGATCATTTCTGATGTTAGTTTGAAAGGGGCGCGCTCGAAACGAATGCCCCCTGGTGCAATGTCGAAGCAAAATCCAAAGTCTATGTGGATAATATGTCCAGCGTCATCTATCATGATGTTCCCGTTATGCCGGTCCTTAAACTGAAGTAAATAGGAAATCACAGAATATGCAGCCATGGATTTCACGAAATTGCTGCGGGCTTCTTGGAACCGAATTGAATCTTCGCTACCGTATTTAGAGACGAAGTAGTCATATAATCCGTTAACCGCTTCGCGTCCGAGCATATCTCGCGAAATTGAGTTCGGAAGGACATCGATAACTCCGCAGCCTGGAGCGGTGGCAACCACACGGTATGGATAGACGAAAACGTCTAGACCGACACTACCGAAGATGCTGCGAAATGCTGCTATCATTTGTAATGCCAATACATCCTGGCGGCAATCATCACCAACTTTGAAAATGGCCGATTGCCAGACTTCATAGGTTTCTGCTTTCGCTGGAAGGTTCGTTGCGGCGGCTGCATTATCCGTCTGATTTGCCTCGGCAAAGGGGATTTTGTTGTTGGTATCGCCATTTCCATTGCCATTTGTTTCTGATTTTGTTTTTTTGATTCTGAAGGTAGCCATGTATGGTGCTTTCGCATGACTTTGTAGTGGCTTGCCAGATTTACGATCGATACCGACAACGACACCATCAGGATTGCTAGGAAGATACACGCCAACTTCGACTTTGATTTTTCGGAGCTCTTCCTCAATCTTCTCCTTTTTCTCTGGCTTGCTACGCTTTATGTATGGCCGCAGCTTTCCTGAAATCTCCGTAATTTCACGGAAGAACGAAAATTCCTTCTCGTAAAAGGTACAGTCTTCGTCTGAAAAGCTGGAGATTAATTCTTCCGTAAACTTATCAAGAACGGGTTTGACCGGATCAGGCTAACGAGGGTCAGCAGCGGGACAGGGCAATGGCTACCAAGAGTGGCAGAACATACAATTAGCGAGTCTTCATCTTTATAGGCGTTCGCCTTCATATTCCAGATCACTTGGTGCGCAAAATACGGAGAAAGCTGGGCGGTCTCAAGTAGATAACGCTCAACGTAGCCCAGTGCATCGTAGCGCAGAGCCTGGACGAGTTGAGGAATGTAGAAAAAGCTAATGTCCACTGAGTGGCTCTCCAAAGCGCGCATCGCATATTGTAGGATAAAAGGGTGGTTTCCATATGCTGGAAGGAAATATGTGACTGCTGCGATGGGGTTTGTTGGGACCCAGAAAAGAAGATACTGTGAGAACATTTAGAATTACGTCGTAGAAGAAAGGAAGAAACCAGATACCTTCAGTTGGAAGGTGACATCTTGAGGTAACGCACACCCCAAAAGTATCTCTAAACTGTCCGGATCATCCAAGGCCTTCTCGGGGAAATTAAATATTAACCAGCGGATGTCATTTTGCAGCTTCGGTGAAGGAAACCTCGACGCTAATTGAATGGCCAAATTCGGGTTTTCTGTCCATGCGAGTCTCAGAAACCCACAAATAACAGCCTAAAGTAAGGTAAGAATCTTGCAATATGGGATGACTAGAGGCAGACCAACCTCTTGGGATTTGGTTCCAGTGTGATGGCGTTTCTCAGTATCAAGGGGAGAGAGCCACACCCTTAGGCGGGTTCTTTCATTGTCAATCAAAGCCAGAACAAGATCCTGTTTATTATTCAGGGATTTCCGGGAAGCAGCATCTCCAGGCACAATCCATGAATTTACGCCTAATATGGATTCAATATCATGTAAAATCTTGTCCTCAGCTTTCACTTGGAGGCGATTTGCCCCATAGGACCACCTAGTCAATTGTAAGATCATTCCATAAGTCTAAAAGATAAGGAAGTTACTGACCTGGGTGGATGACTAAACCAGCTCAAGGCGGCTGAGAGGATTTGGTCCTTAAGTTTCCATAGTGCAACCTTCGATTGTCCCTTGCAATATCGGAGCACTTTTAAACTGAAGAGGATAATGTGAAAATGAATTTCTCGCGCAAGTGGATGACCAGTCGTGCGCCTCAAGGCATCCAGGGTCGCCGCTACAAGTTGCCTGAAAATCCTTTGGATATGAGGGCTGGCGAGCCTTGTCGCATTGAAATGGCTCTCAAAAAAATGTAGCAAATGTAAGTGAGGCGATATAATATTCTGAGCTTTTCGCTGACGTTTTACTATGACGCTCTTGTCGGAAGGTAATGACTCAATTTTCGTCATAAAGGGGTCCGAATATCTGGATAGAGAATTAGATAATACATTCGCAGACGGGGTGGGAATTAGCTCACTTAAAACCGGGGTCAAATATGCCCTTTTTGCGGCGAATAGTACGTTCCCAAGCTTGTGCAGCTTCCACTATTATCCTCGGCTCCGTTTCCGGATTCTCGTTGATTACACCAAGCCAGAATGAAATGCCCATTTTGATGGACTCGCTGGTAAATAGCTGGAAAGGGATACTGACTAAATGGGAAATAATGGATGGTTCACAACCATCGTTGTTGCAAAGAAGAGCAGCGGCTCTACGAAGTACACTTTGAAGCATCTCAGGAGGCGTTCTGCTTCGGTGCGAGATCTGTGATTCCAATTCAGTCAATTTTTGTTGGATATTCTGGGCTACCGGTAAGTAGCTTTCACTTCTTGCTCCGTCAAGCTTAGCTACAGAAAGGGTTAGCCACAATTTGATAGAAAGAGTCGAATTGCACTCACAATGAGTTAAGGATGACCGTAGGGTCTGGCCAGAAAGGGAATGAGCTTCCGAAAAGCGATATTCTTGACGTTTGGAATATTGAGCGACAAAATCAGATGCCATATTCAATAACGTATTCCCACTGCGTTCAATAGAAACTGATACGAGATAAGCACTACGTCAAACGTGGGATGAACTTGTGAATGAAATACCTAATCGCTGGTCACTCGTGGGAATCATTGAACCCATCTCAAGGGCGAAAGACCGTCCCATAGAGGTATGGCCATATGCACCGTCATCCTCGTACTCGGATAGATACGTCTAAAAAATAAATCAGTGTTTGGCGGCTACAAATAGCAAAAACCAGATACCACGCACCTGGAGTAAACCTTTGACATCTAGAGGTGCAATATTCATTATTGCTGCTACCCAGGACCGAGCTAGGTCATAAAGGTTGTTCAATGTATGTTTTCTGAACTCATAATTATCCGATAATTCAATATTGACCTTGCCGGTGGTAGAGACAAAGGATGATTTCCATTCATATTCATCCAATTCCTCATCCAAACAGGAAGACCACAAGAGTGTTAATAAGTCCAGAAGTGTGAATAGTGACTTCTTTTCACACAACGATGATGGATATTTAGATATTATCTTCGCAGCAGCGGCGGATGCGACTTGCTGTATACTTTGAATCCGATGACAACATGCAACAAAAGTGTCTGCAAGCTGCTGGGAAATATAGGGAGCGGAAAATTTTGCGGAATTGCTGGAGACAAATCTTTCGAGGTACAGTGTCACGATTTTGTCGACAACAGCTCTCATGCAATTCACTATGTCAGGACTATTCAATGCCGGATCGAGAAAGTAAGTGAGAATTTTGGTGAAATCTCCTGAAGAGGCACGAAGGCTTTCAAGGAGCAAGGTTGCATTGAGAAATATGAGTTTTGGGTAACTTAATCGCTTGATCTCTTGTTCTAGAGCTGGTAGTTCTTGGACTAAGCTCTTCTTTTTGTCAGAGGAGTGTGATGCGTTCATACCCCGTCTAAGAACGGTGTTTAACTCGATGTCACTCTCAAGCAACTCCGCACGATTATCTGAAACCAGCGGAGGGGAATGCTCGGCAAGGATGCGGAGGTCTTCATGATACACATGACCTGCTTCAGAGGTCAACGAAACATCATGTGCAGCAATATTGAACCAAGTGTCCCTTAATAAAGAGAGTATATCTCCATTCTCATGGAGACCACCCGGGATATCCTCAAGAGACCCAAGCTTGGAGAGAAGAGAAGCAACAGGTCTCAAATAAGGGTAAATTTCTTTTGCGGACAAGTCAACTTCGTTCGAGCGGCCTTTTTCTCGATCTGTTGCGCCTCCTTTGTTGACAATGCTTTCCAGAAGGGATGTCAGGTAGATTTTAAATAAAGGATTATCTTTTTGAAGATATAGAGCAAGATATTTCCTTGACCTATGGACCTGTGCGCTCGTACAGAAAATATTAGCATGAAAGTTATGTTCGTTTAAAATCAAATAAAAATAAGATGGGAAATCTTACGGCGTCAACGATAAGGGCATTGCCTTGAATGACTGCATCACGATAGAGACGAGCGTAAAACTTGAGAAGGAGTTGGAAATCCGTAGGCTCACTTTTGAGAGCAAGTGCAACAGTTTCTTCGACAATGCAAGCATCAAGGACGACGTTTACTCTCCCGATTTTCTGCAAAAGCATAGATTGCGCCAAAGCCACAATTTTGCTATCTTTGGAAATCGTGGCAACGGTTATGATCGTGTGTATCACATTTTTGTAAGTGATCGAGGAATCTCCTTCACTGTCAAGGGTGAGCGAAATGAAACTGTCATTTGGTCGCTGAGTGCCCGTGATTAAATGGCGCGTGTATAAGTGGGCTTCTTCCGCGAGCGCCCCTGTGTGCTGGTTTGTTTTATCGTGAGTAGGACTTGCGCTAAGGACATTTCCCAAAGAATAGAGTGTGCCAATGATAGTGTCCTGGGAGAGAAGCTGAAGATTTTGGGCTAAAGAACGAGCGGCAATAGCGAGAATCGCACCACTTTGCCTATTCTGAACAATAAATTGTAGTAGAGATCTTGTCAAATTTGGCGCATTTAGGCGTGATATTCTTGATAAGACCACCAGGGACTTGAAAGAAATTGTAGCCAACTCCTCACTTGCCATTTGATCAGGATTAAAAATGGTGGTTTCCAGCCATGAGAGTAAGAGGTCAATGTCAGCGGAATCTTCATCAAGAATAATGCAGTTGATGAAGGTTACTAAGGCAAATGATTTGGCCGTGAATGCAAGATTCTGTTGCCAAGGCATGCCCAATTGCAAATAATCCGATCCCTCTTCCAAAAGTTGAATTTGATCAGCAGCGATTTGGGCAGAGTATTTCGCAAGAGCAGATATATCATCACTGTCTTGCCTTGTATCATCTAGGCTGTTTATATACCGATCCAAGAGAGCATTTTCGGACATTATCCGACCGTTCTCAGCTACGGGAGATGTGCAAGCTCTGACGAATCCGAGGAAGGATTTTTGAAGTAGCATCGAACTAAGTGGCCTCCCGGCGGAAGCAGATAGTCTAGCATATCGTCGCCAATTCTGAAATGAAAGATCCGAAGTTCGTAGATTACGAATGGTGGAGGAGGTTGTTTCAACGGCGACCAGGAACTGCTCCGAGAGCACCAGATGTAGTTTTTCGACAAAACATAGGCGTTCCCTCGGACTCCAGAAATGTGTATACGTAGACATACCATCCAAAAGCCCAACTAACGACACCGCGAGAGCGGCGATTTCCGTGATATCTTGGGCCTCCCCATGTTCAGCTGCACGATCTGCTTGACTATCGAAGGTGGGTAACTCTTTTGCGAGCCGATAACAGTTCTCCACATAAGTAAGAACGCACTCATATATCTGATCGTGATGTGATGGATGGTGCAATCCAAGTGAGAGCAACGCGGTGATGAGGTTGCGGGTCAAAAGTTCCCATGGAGGAGTCTCGAGACTGTGGAGGAAAGGAGAGGAGTTGAACACTAGGGAGCAACAGTCCGGGAGGTAATCTGTAAAAAGGGTAACAAGTTTCGCAACATCTTCCGGCTTGGAGGTCAGGGGAGCAGCTTCGCAGAGAGAAAGAAGGGCGTCTAAATCTCGGATTCTCTACTGACGGTTAGCAGTCCGCCTCAGGAGGTACATATTAATCTGGAGCGACAGACAATTGGAGCTGGAGATGCCCTCCCTTTAAAAACATCGTCGAGGAAGCCGGTCGGGGATGCCTTCGGGCGTCGACATGCATTGCGAAGCCGGTCGATATCAGACGTGTTGGTATGGCAAGCTCCGGGGTATTTTGCTGCCAATGTCGCTAGTTTTTCAAAGGCGACACGGCGAATATATGTCGAATGCCTGCACATAGGGCGTAAGCATAAACCAGAGCACAGAAAACGGTCAGGTAGAATACGCATACATATTGTTTTCAACGAGGCCCAAGAACTTCCAAGCAGACCTACAGGATTGGGTTATTCCATCTTGTTGTGCCTAGGTAAATTCACTAATAGTTAATTAATATTATATTCCGGCGGGAAAAGTGTAGTACCTGTACACAGCTTATCCTTGGTAATTCCTATTAAACCATGTTTTTCTGGAGTGCTTTGCAGTTGAGAGAGCTCACATAGCTAGCTAAATATTTATCTAGGCTGTTTGTTTTTTAATAACCTATCAGGTACGGAGCATGCGGTAAACTATGGAGCACTGTAAAGAGTACTTACTCCGTACGGAGTACAGAGTATGGAGTACCCCTTTTGAGCCTGTTAGTCCCAAACATAAAAAAGTTAAGTATGGAGTACGGAGTACGGAGTACGGGGTAGACACTTTGTGGTACTCTGTACTGAGGATGGGATAATCTGTACATGATGCCCAGGGCAGAGTTCAACCCTGTTAAGTATTAGACAAAGCATAGAGCTCCTTGATTTTTATTCTCTGTAAAATACTCTTGGGGTTTGCGATGAGAATTGGCTAATCTCTGAGATTTCTGAGGTAATTGTGGAGTACAGGTGCCGAGTACTCCTTACTGGGTGCTTGGTACCTCTAAAGTACTACTCCTAATAATAATAATAATAATAATAATAATAATAATAATAATAATAATAATAATAATAATAATAATAATAATAATAATAATAATAATAATAATGGAGCAATGATGAGTTTGAGTGTAAGATAATAAACATCAAGTTGGCGAACTTCTCGCCCCAGAGCTGGTAATATAGATTTGCTCCTTCAGCCTTGTCCGCCGAGGAGTTGGTCAAATAGGGAGTTCGCTGCTCAGGACGGAGTAGTGAACACAACTGAAGCCGGGGCCCTCATTTGTCACATCCCCAGCCCAGAGCTTCGAAAGACATCAGACGAAAGGGTTGGGCAACTTGAGAAACTGGCCCGACTTAACCCCTCATTCATCCTGCCTTGAAACATGTTGTTCAAATTTATTCAATAATCGCGCCAAAATCCCAACCAAAAGCTGCGTAAATATTCATACACGCTTACGCTCGCAGTATTCCGACGGCAATCGTCGAGCCGAGTCTACAAGCTGCGCCTCTCGGATCTTCGCATTGAACTTGCAAATATCCGAATCTATAAATATTTCTGCGAATACCTCAATTTTCATGCAATTGTGAGTACCGGGACTCCCTCGTTTCGGACCCAACGGACTTTACGGACCGCTGTCCGCCTATCGACGTCGACACCATGCCCCCGCAGAAAGAAAAGAGTAGTCTAAAAAGGGGAAGAGTAAGTAATTGATTGCGCTGGCTCCTTGCAACTCCTTGAACATGACTAATGGCGTGGCTAGGCGAGCGGCGGTAACCATGAGCAGGATGTTAAAAAGCCCCGGCGTTCAGAGCGACTATCGTCCCAATTGGCACAATCGCAAGCAGCTCGAGCAAACAAAGCCTACCTTCCTCCGCTTATCCAGCAAGATTCCACAGCGACAGAGATTCATAAAGAAGCCACTGTCACACCTCCAGAGGGCCGTCCAAGCCAGCTTCGCCATCATACACCGGGGCCAGAAAGCCTGACCCAATTGTCATCTCCTCCAGGTGACACCCAGGCCTTCTCTCAGAACCCTTCCCGGGTGTATGTGAGCGGGGTGGAAGAGGAAGCCGCAGAAGGTGTATGGGGCTATCTAATCCCGCTGGACAACAAGTTCGGAGATACACTTGTGCTGAAAAAAAGAGACACCTGCTTTTCTTCTCCAATTGGCGGTGTAACAAATAACCGTAATGGTGCTTCAAGATCAAAGCGTAGCAAAGGGAAAGGAATGCCCACTCCCCTACAATTGAACCCCAGTGGTTACTTAATAGGTCGTCACTCCGAATGCGGTAAGTATCAGGAATCGCCAAAGACGTCGAGCACGGATCTGGCCCTCGGCGAGAGGCCGGCTCATAGCCTAACTATTTCTAACTCTATTTCAGATTTGATTCTAGATATACCGACTATCTCTAACCGGCATTGTTTGATATTCCATGAAAATAGGGAGGGCGATTCCGTTGCCATTCTAGAGGACCTATCTAGCAATGGTACTTTTGTCAACGAAGCCATTGTTGGCCGCAACAATCGGCGCGAGCTTGAAGACGGGGACGAAGTTACTGTGCTGGACGAAGCTCGATTTATCTTTCGCTATCCCCGTAACCGAGACGCCGGTGGATTCCGACAACAATATCGCATCTTAGAGCAGCTCGGAAAGGGTCATTTTGCGACAGTATACCTCTGTGCTGAAAGAGCGACTGGTATCAAATATGCTGTCAAAAGGTTTGAAAAGCGGCCGGGAGATTCTCATAGATCTGATAACGACACCCTTCAACAAGAAATTGCGATGTTGAAAAGTGTCAACCATACAAACGTGCTTTGTCTTAAAGACACCTTTGATGAGAGTGACGGAGTCTATCTAGTCCTCGAGCTTGCTCCGGAAGGAGAGCTGTTTAACTGGATTGTTTCTCACCAAAAGCTGAAGGAAGATGAAACGCGCCATGTATTCCGTCAGCTGTTCCAGGGGCTAAAGTATCTGGTATTTGTTCTTCCTCTGCTCATTTGCGAGTGCTGTTGAATCTAACTCTTTTGCAAAGCACGATCGCAACATCGTTCATCGTGATATAAAGCCTGAAAACATACTACTTATGGATAAGCATCTAACAGCCAAGTTGGCGGACTTCGGGCTTGCCAAAATAATAGGCGAGGATTCGTTTACCACCACCTTGTAAGTTTTATTCCTCCGGCTAAAAAAATCAAATCTTCTAACATACCTCTACAGATGCGGTACACCGAGCTGTAAGTTGTGATGTCATCTATCCTTTGGAAGGGGTTCGTATTGAGACAGCTGACTCTTTGTATAGACGTTGCACCAGAGATCCTTGAAAACAGTAGACAACGACGATACACGCGAGCTGTTGACATCTGGTCATTAGGGGTCGTTCTTTATATCTGTCTCTGCGGCTTTCCGCCATTTTCTGACGAACTTTATTCGGCTGAACACCCATATACCCTAGCAGAGCAGATAAAGTTGGGTAATTTTGACTATCCATCGCCATATTGGGACTCTGTTGGGGATCTGGCGCTCGATTTGATCGATAGAATGCTCACGGTGGATGTTGATCAACGGGCTTCCATCGACGAGTGTCTGCAGCACCCTTGGTTAACTGGAAAGTATCCTAGTGTCGCAGATAGCACGGACGGGTTAACCGGGGCAATGGGTCAGTTAGACTTCTCGAAGCGCAAGATTGAACGAGAAAGGACCCTTTTAAGCGACATCAACGATGTCCCTGTCAGTCAGGTTTATGATGATAGCCGACAAGAGGGTTATGGTCAGGTGAAAATTTTCGACAAAAATACGGCGGGAAAACGGGTTCATAATCAACCCGCAAAGGGCTTGAAGTATCGACAAGAACCGAAACCGGACGTAAATCGAGATCCCGTGGAGTTTATGCATATGGGTGGACGTGGTGACCAGACGCTTTTTGCCCATGACCCGGACAGCCGATACGAATCAGACAAAGTTCCCAGGAGGAAACGATAGCGAAGTTGCTCTAAGCTAGCAGTTTTTTTCTGCTTTGCGTCTCGCTTCTATTAATCGGAAAAGGCTTATTCTTAGATTTTCATATCTGCATCCGATGGCTCAACACACCGAGCTTCTAATTCCCAATTGACATTTTAATTATGGCACCCCCCTCCTTAAACTAATTTCCTATATCAATACAAGTAGTCGTGAAGTGTATCAGAGACTCAAGAGTTTGATGCTGTGCAAGTTGCTCACCCATGCCCTGTCAAGTGAAATGAACTTGGTCGACTAGTTTAGTACAAAATGCAGATGACCCGACATACACCCTTCTATAGAGTCGGTGTTACTTCCTTTGTTCCGCAGTAGTCTCGATCCTCCTTATCTATGGCATAACTAGCATACGTATGTTGACTTTCCACGACATTCAACGGACATCCGCCGTGAATTTCGGGCCGTTTCACTTCTCAGCCGCCCAGCGGATGGCGTGACCCGGCTGGACGTCAAGAAATCAGATTGCGCTCGAATGTGGCTCAGGCTGTGGCTCGCTGCTCAAGGATCCATCGAGCTAAGCCAAGATCAGTAAGGCTCGATCACGGGAAGAGCTTCTTGGCAGGTGGCCAGGCACTGTAACGATGTTACCGTATTCTTACGCCTGGGCTGGTTCCCCTGGTTTCTCGGAATGTGATGATTATTCTTTTTAACGATCTTCAACTCCCATTCCGGAGGCCACAGCTCACCAGAGAGATTGTGAATCGCTCTCAGAGCATATCTTTGCAAGCATGGGATTGCTAGCGAATGTCCTGACTGGCGTTTCTAAGGCCTGCTCAGGCCAATCTCCCTGGACGTTGGTCTTGTTGGGAATATGTGCGTTCCTTACGCTCTCAGTGTTTGTCAATGTTTTAAAGCAGGTTTTCTTTAAGAATCCGAATGAGCCCCCGGTAGTCTTTCATTGGTTTCCGATCATTGGAAGCACGATCTCTTATGGTATTGATCCCTATAAATTCTTCTTTTCATGCCAGAAGAAGGTGCGTCTGTGTCATTCCCGGGAGCTCAAGTTTAAATTCTAATCCTCTTGTGATGGTAGTATGGTGACATATTCACATTCATCCTTCTTGGAAAGAAGACAACTGTTTTCCTGGGAACGAAGGGTAATGACTTCATCCTCAATGGAAAGCTAAAGGATGTTTGCGCCGAAGAAGTCTACTCGCCTTTGACTACCCCCGTTTTTGGCAGACATGTCGTTTATGATTGCCCAAATGCTAAGCTGATGGAACAGAAGAAGGTAATTCATCTGCTTTTGTCTCTAGTTGCAAGATTTCGGCTTATCCGTACAGTTTGTCAAATTTGGTCTTACCTCGGAGGCGTTACGATCCTACGTGACCCTTATCACCAGAGAAGTCGAAAGCTACCTTGAAAATTCGCCTGCGTTTCAAGGAGACTCTGGCGTGTTTAATGTTGCAAAATCCGTTGCCGAGATTACAATCTACACTGCGTCTCGATCCCTCCAAGGGAAGGAAGTCCGAGATAAATTCGACTCGAGCTTCGCTGAGTTGTACGCCGATCTCGACATGGGTTTCGCCGCCATCAACTTTATGTTCCCTTGGGCTCCCCTTCCGCACAACCGCAAGCGGGACAGGGCCCAGCAGAAGATGACCCAAGTCTACACGGACATAATTCGCGAACGACGCAAAGCTGGTGGAAAGAAAGATTCTGAAGACATGGTGTGGAATTTGATGTCATCTGTTTACAAAGACGGAACACCGGTGCCGGACGTTGAAGTCGCGCATATGATGATTGCTTTGTTAATGGCTGGACAACACTCCTCAGCGTCGACGGGTTCCTGGATCGTCCTCCGACTTGCAAGCCGCCCTGATATCCTTGAGGAATTGTACCAAGAACAGCTCCGAGTTCTCGGTCCAGATCTTCCCCCGTTGACGTACGAATCTCTTCAGCGCCTAGAACTTCATTCAAATGTCATCAAGGAAACACTACGCCTACACGCACCCATTCACTCAATTCTTCGCGCCGTGAAGTCTCCGATGCCTGTAGATGGAACGAAATATGTGGTTCCAACTTCCCATAACCTTCTCGCAGCCCCAGGAGTTCCGTCACGTATGGCTGACTACTTCCCTGAGCCTATGCTATGGGATCCCCATCGCTGGGAGAAAGGGGGAGGTGTCAATGCAACTGGAGTCCAGGACGAAGCGGCCGAAGAGAAAGTTGATTATGGTTACGGGTTAGTTAGTAAAGGTGCAAATAGCCCCTATCTACCATTTGGTTCTGGTCGACATCGGTGCATTGGTGAACAGTTTGCGTATGTACAACTTGGAACGATCACTGCAGCACTGGTACGAGCTTTGAAGTTGAGAAAACTCGATGGTGATAAGGAAGTTCCTGATACGGATTATTCGGTAGGCCTAACCCTTCTATTTAGCTCTGCACGATCTCACTGACATTACTTCCAGTCCTTGTTTTCAAAGCCTCTAGGCAACCCGAAGGTCGCTTGGGAGAAACGCAAACCGTCTTCGAAACAATGACCATCTCTGCTCATGTATTCTACTTTATCTCAGCTGTTGTATTAATTTTTAATATCATTTTACCAATGGTGTGTATGTAGATAGACATTCCTAATTATGTGACGCTGTAATATGTTAGGTATAATATTTGTGTCGAAACTCTCTCTCTACTTGCATAAAATTAACTGCATTACTAACAGGAAATGAGATACAGAATGAAGTACAGCCAATCTAAGTGATCTAATCGTTTTTGCAACAGTCCGTCCAATCCAATGTTATAGTAAATTCACATATTGTACAAAAAGAAATGTGCCATCCAACACACCTTCAGGGCTTATTCATTGTTTCTTCGACTCCGCAATTCGTCGTTTTGCTCGCACTTCTGCTCTTCTTCTTTCACCTCCATCAATTTTCCGACCTAATTTATCCTCCCACATACCTTCCTGTACCGTAATTTTCGCCGCGCTGCCGTTCGCGCCAGGAAGCAGCTCGACATACGGTCCTTTTATCTTATTCCCACGATGAAGTTTGATTTCGGAATATTTTTTAATCGAAAACGTGTTTTCTTTCACTTCCGTCTCGCCCACTGGTAGATTGACAATCACCCATTTGCTTCCCGGGGAGGTTGTAGCGGTACCAGCCAGGCTGAATGAATGAGTGCCGGTATCCCTGCCTGTGGTGGTATCGGTAGCGCGAATCTGCTCCCGCGGAACTTCAACAGCACGTAGCTCCGCGACGCCATCAGTGACATGGTCCAAGTTCCCCCCAACGCCGTACTCTCCACGCCGAAATTTATCAACCCAGCGAAGCAAGTATCGTCTTTGGCGGGCAGGCTCTACACCCAACTCGCGCAGCTCTTGAGATGAGATTGTAAATAATTGCTCCCAGGAACTTAATTTATCGCTGTATTGGGACATGTTGCGACCAATAAGGGCGAGGAATGTTTTCGTATCTGGGACGAAAGGGGTAGGAGACGGGACGAAGCCACGCCGGACGGCTTTATGGAGATAGCGCACACATCGGTGGGAGGTTTGGAGGAGTCCAGGAAGGCGGAAGGAGAGAAGGGGTTTAAGAGCAGATTTGCCAGTTGCCATGAGGAACGGCAGCGAGACGGTGGTCCGGCGGTTCGTTTCTTAGGAGAGCGAATCTCAAAGATCTGATGCGGATTCAATGCGTATGACTCATAACAATTCAAGGTCCGACAGAACTCTTTTTCACGTTACTTTAGAAAAGAAGGGAGAAAACACTCAATCCTCATGACCCTCAATACCAACGGTGTAAATGCTGTTTACTCGTCGCGCTTCGATAAAAGCTCGATGCATTTTGTGAGGGAAGCGGGAATGAAACGGAATAACCTAATCTCCGGGATTCGGTGGAAAATAGTTTGTCCAGTTGGGCGGCCCGGAGGACTCAGGTCCACAACTTATTGAGCCAAACTCTCAAAAGTCGGAAGTTGTTTCCAAGTCACCTGCGGAGTATTAACGGAGGCTTTCGACAAGACGAGCGCGGCCATGTATTGTTATATCTCATAACTGCGCATTGCCTACATGGACAATCCGTCGATGGCTTCCGGGCGAATTTTGAATCGAGTTTGGTGGTCTACAAGCCCACAAACCTGAAGTCGCGAGCCGCCACGAGTGGGTGTTATTTCATAGCATTGCGCCAATCTTCACAGGACTTTGACAATCGATGGCGGTCTCACCGCCCGTATCGCGATCGCCAAATGTTGGGACTGCGACATCCAACACCTCCCATGCAAAATCGCTGGCAGTGCGCCGCACAACGACAGGTGGAGCGGCGGAATCCGTGCCTGCGATCATAACTATGGAAGGGAAGGCGAAGGGGTCCGAACCAGAGCTTGCAGAGCAATTAAATGCAGAAATCCGTCATCGATACGTCAAAGGTATGGTCATTTTTCTGCTTGCGAGGTCCATACGTTCTCCCTTCATCGTTCTTCTCCTCTTCTAACAGATCAAAGACAAAAAATTAGGGGAAGGCACCTATGCCATTGTCTATCTTGGCCATCTTCGGAGCGATCCTTCTTCACTCGTCGCGATAAAGAAGATCAAAGTCAATACCGAATACAAAGATGGTCTCTCAATGGATGCAATACGCGAAGTGAAATATCTCCAGGAACTGTCTCATCCCAACGTAATTGCTCTTCATGCCGTCTTCTCGTCCAAAGATCGAAATTTAAACTTGGTTTTGGAATATTTACCGCTCGGTGATTTGGAGATGCTGATCAAAGACAGCGCTATTCAGTACGGCGCTGCCGACGTCAAGGCTTGGGTGGGCATGCTCGGCCGCGCAGTCTGGTTTTGTCATGAGAATTTCATCTTACACAGGGATATCAAACCAAACAATCTGCTAATAGCATCAGACGGTGAAGTTAAGCTTGCGGACTTTGGACTGGCCAGATCATTCGCAGACCCTCGCCTAAATATGACTCACCAGGTAATCACGCGCTGGTATAGGCCACTAGAGCTTCTTTACGGGGCGCGCCAGTACTCTGGCGCAGTAGATGTATGGTCTATGGGAATGGTTTTTGCAGAGTTACTCCTCCGCGTCCCCTTCGCTGCAGGAAATACAGACTTGGATCAGATATCCAAGATCTGCGCCGCGTTTGGCACACCCACCGAGGATAACTGGCCGGGGGTAACGAAATTGCCCAACTTTGTCCCCGTTGAAAAGAACCAAATTGTCCCATTGCAAGGGAGGGATTTCTTCCTTCGGCAATTTCCCACCGTGGGACACCTTGGAGCAGACTTGCTATCGTCGATGTTAAAACTTGATCCACGAAATCGCAGTACTGCGAAGCAGATATTACAACATGCGTGGTGGTCCGCGGAACCCAGGCCAACTAGAAAAGAAAATTTACCTCGCAAAGCTGGAGGTGCAAAGAAGATGGGCAATGATTTGAGCAGAAGAGGCGGCGTAACAGATGAAGGATCTTTCAAGAATGCGGCTCGTAGGCTTGATTTTGGAGGACTCCTACCGAAATGATGGCGACATTTGGCCGTTTCCACGACCTTTTTTGGAAATCGGTGATTCTAAGCCTCAGCGAATAAGAGCAGGGCTCCTTCAATACAGAAGCACAAAGATATGATCAATCTAATTGAAGCACGGTATCTGTTTTCGACCTTGACCTTACCGCCGATGTCCCCTGGGCTGATCATCGTCCCCGGTGACGGCGTCCGCCAACAAAATTGTAGCATGCAAGGCATCCGGTTTGTTATTGAGAAACCGCGACACGCACCAAATATATTTGGGATAATTCGCCCGGAAGAAGGATCAATAAATTATCCTTTTTGCGAACATGTATGTACATACATACATGCCTTTCTGCATCACCAGGTGCTCCATAGTTTCACTCTACTTAGCCTGAAATGTTTTTGATCCTTGCAACTAATATACATACATCAATACAATCCGCCCACAAGATGTAACGACATGTAGTACTTTAGCCCAGGAGCTTAAATCTATAAATGCAGATGCTAGCAAAGCTTGAAAGCCCAAGATTTTACAAAGTAGATGGGTCTCTTATGAAGTACGCGGCCCGCTCTTTACCATATAGTGGGCCAGGTTTGACAAGGTCGGGTGACTACCAAACGAAGCGAGCAGGGTCTATAGGATAAACAAAGGAGTTGTATGTTATATCTCGTGTTCTACACATTTTTAATTGCGATAAGAGCATGTTCAATGCTGAAACGTCAATGCCATGATCATCGCCCTGGCTCAAGCGGTTCCCATCTGGACATTCCTGTGTCCACATCCGAGTCCAGTAGTTCAGCTATATCAGGTCCGGTTCTATGCTTTGGAGATGAACCCCGTGCATGGGGCTCCTCCATATCAGGCCACTTCCCTGATAGTGATGCTCCTCCGTTCCAATACGGTATATTTTGGAGCCCATCGTCTGCCTGTCGAGCGGCGAAAGGAGGCTTATACGTGCTGTCATCAGCGTTCGTCCCTCCAAGAGCTCTTGTTGCCATTGCTGTGCCTTTTCCCTTAAACCTGGGGTCGACGACAGGATTTTTGGTCAGTGAAAGAGGCTTTTGGGGAACTGGCGGACCTTTCTTCTTGGGTGTTTCTGAGAGCTCAACGAGTTCCTGCATAGCACTGGTCTCCCGTTTTGCTAGAGGCAATACGTTTCCATACTCGGTGAAATCCAAATCCAACAAAATGCCACTTTTTAACGGTGCGACATTATCACTTGAGGCCAAGCGTCTATGGGGCAAACTTGCACTTTTAGCATCGTTAGATGACCTATCACTTCTGCTAGGGTTGGATGGATAGATCCGGTCACGTTCTGTGAGTGCCAAAAAGGGGTTCGAACTTGGATAGTGGCTCCTGATGGAGTCCGTAGGCGGGTTTACCAATGACCTTATAGGCAGACCTTGTTCGAGTTAGCAATTATTCCCTCGCTAGTGAACAGACAACACTCTCACCATCGTCGAGCCACCACTTATGTCGATCAGAGCTAGCCGGTGGAAGGCCAGGAGGAGTGTACACATCACGAATTAATCCCACTTCTTCGGTACGCCCAGACTCTGAATGCGAACTAGTGGTCTCGATTGCCTTCTTGTGCTTCTCATAGAGTTCGTGGCTTAACCGCGCCTTCAATCCCTCGTCAACAGTAAGTATCGCACATTCAAAGACAGCATATACGGGTCGATGATCCGAGAATTTCAAAGGAGCAGTGTTGTATTCAACTTGATTCAAAATTTCCCCTTTCCAAAGGACCCTATCACACCACGCCGGAATACGCCGCTTCTCCCTAAATTTCAAAAAAATCAGTCTCGAAAGGCGAATCTACGGTACATACGCCTAAACTTACGAGGTGTCATATACATCCGTTCCGTTATTATATCGGTATGTGGGAGGGAACGTTATTGGGCCTTCGAAGTAGTCCTGGAACGTGACACCAGCGCTAATTTGCAAATTGAGCTACAACGGGTAAATTAGCAAGATAATTTATGTATTTGATGTTGTTGGATGGGAGAGCTGTTACCTGGTCCTTTTCATACAACTCTTCGAGGCTCCCCTTCTCTATTAGAGATCTGACTTTATTGTCGTTCAACTCGATGCGGTAGTTAAAATCGCCTAGCCAGATTATAGCATCATGATCATTTATTGTCCGATTGCGCTGGAATCTGAGCCCATGGGCAATGGTGTTATAGTCTCTATTCCTCTCCTCATAGTTGGCGAATCCGGCAGCCAGATGTGCAGTGAGAAAACAAATTCTAGTATTGGAATACTCAAGGCGGATGGCACACCCGCCTTTGTTCCCGGCTATTCCAGACAGTCCGGTCTTAGAAATTGCTGTCAGTGACTATTAACTTGAACTAGTAGAGTAGATTAACTACCTTCTTCACACTGCCTTCGACATTTTTAATTTCTCTCAATACATCTTCTTTCGCGAACAACAATAACGCCGCACCTACAAGCTGTCCGCTTCTTAGAAGTACGTATGGGCTGGTCCCTCTTCGAGATGTTTCTCTGTCCAGAGTTTTTTTGACAGCTTCTTCCCAAATTCTGCGACTCCTCGGATCGGTAGACATAATCTGCTGTGGGCTCAGGTCAACAATTTCCTGAAAACCAACTGCTACAAGCGTTGGTTCTTTGGGGAATTTGGCAAGGTGAGCATGAAGCCAAAGACCCAGGTCTTCATTAGCATTGCAGGGTCTACCGTTGACATTAAACGTTCCAACCCATATCCGAACCGTTTTAGTGGATGAGAATTCAGTAAACCTCTCTGCTAGCTCTGCCATAACATGGTCATTCACCGGGTCGTAAAGATGGACCGCAGTTTGTCCAGTCAAAGCACCTAATAAAATGTCTATGGTGTTCTGTCTGGCATTGTCAATAAAATTATTGACATATAACCGGGTAACGCTTTTCCTTGCATCGGCAATTGCCCCCGCAATGGACATCTTGCCATGCCTAGTGAACGATGACTTTAATGCTCCGGTACCAGCATAGATTTTTGATAAGGCATCGCCATTGTCAGCCCATAAAGTAGAATGCCTCCCCCAAAACTCATGTGGCAAGGTGTAGCTATTCTGCATAAGAAATCTCTCCAGCACCATGACGCTAATCAGCGATTGCACAAGGTTTGTTCTGTCAAGGCAGTCAAGGCAGTTGGTGCGAAATACTCCCTCCTGATGAAGAATAATTGTCGATTTGCCTTCATCGACTTTTGATCGTGGCGTAGTGTCACCATTAGGGTCCTCGGATAGAAAATACGCGAACCTGTCAATGGAAAAGCCAAGTTTATGCTCTATAAGCATAGCGTTCTCGTAGCCAGCAGGACCTTTAGTTTCTGCGTGGAAGTCGAAATCGGTCCATCGTAAAAGATGATGCTCAGAAGGTGCCCCTTTCTCGGACATCCTTCGTAGAGGGCTATGTCGGCTATGATAGCGGAACTTTTCAGATAACTCCAGTTCTCCCGGCTTTGTTTCACTCAGCAGGTTTATGACATGAGCCTCACCGTAGTTCAGCTGAAGAGATTGAAAATGTTTGTCAAATGCATGTTGGGTAGCACCCACAGACCGAGTAACTTGAATCTTCTGCTGGCCTGGAATTAAGCCAGGCGTTTGTTCCCAGAAGATAGGGACCGAGCCTCTAACTTGGGTGTAAGAGAATGTTATCCCGGGGGGAGTCCATAAAATCGTCTCTGTTTCTACAAAATTGGAGACTTGGCCATCATCGTCTATGCCTCGGGAATTGAATCTTGTGCCAGTTCTTCGTGAAGAGAGTCGTGAAATTAAAGTTAGAGTAGCTGGGAGACCTGCTGGTATGGACTTGAGAGGGGGTGAAGGAATTGTCGTGCTCTGGACAAAACCGCGAATAACTGAGGAAAGAATCTGGGATGAATCAAGGAGATGTCGTTCGTGATCCGCCAGTCTGCTCCGAAATTGTAGGAGTGGTCCAATCATGTACGAATTCCAAAGGAATGATTCGTCTAGCCTTTCGATATCAAAGGCGACATCATTGATTCTGTAAAGGCGATTAGATATGGTAGAAGGGATGCAAGGACAGGTCCTTACCGGTCCTGTACTCGGTTCGTCAAGTTGAAGTCTGTACTATAATAAAAGCTACCATCACTCAATAGCTTTTTAAGCTCCAGAAAAGGATCCTCTGTTATTACATCTCTCCCTTGAAAAGCAGTACCATAGTCACTTTCCTGGGAATAATGAGCGTAATTGGCATTTTCTTGGTGAAATCCTAGTGTATCGTCGTAATCCGGACGGTTGAGGCAGTCTAACAAGACCCTGTTAGCGAGGACTGTGCGTGACTATGGACGTATTGCCTCACAGAAGTCGACGTTTGTGATTTTTCGAACAGTTTCTTTAGGTCTGGGGCTCGCTACACTGGCTGAGCTCGAAATGACGCATAGAAACACATCATTGTCGAGGGTAAGAAGGCCTAGAGTGCCATGTCCGATCCCAAGTAACCGGTGCTCTGTGCGCTTCCAAGAGGCGCTCGAGAACTTTACGATGCATCGGGGTGAGAGGACATTGGAATCAGAGTCGGTAGACAGTATCGACTCTGAAAAAGTAGGTGAATACTCTAGGATAAGGGCATGGCCATCAGGGGTAACCAAAGCTATAGAACGTCGAGGGTGGTCTTGACAAAGAACCCGCAAAGACATCTCTGCTAGTGAATATGTATGCTGCTCTTTTACGACAAGAGTTAGCCTCCTCTCCAAAAGGGTAGAATGCTTTATTTTGATTCCGTGAATATCCCATTAGTGGCAGCGAAGTGGAAAGAATTACTGGGTGATTGCTGTCCTGGAGCAACAAGCAGAAGAAAGAACTGACCTGGAGGAGACTTGCACTTTTGTAGCTAAGTCCTCAACCGCGCAATGTCTAACTTTTCTTGCATGTAGCATAACTCATCATCTGGACTTTTGCACTGGAATGATTAGGTAGTTAACTCTTTAAATCAGTGGCATGAATATGTTGGGGTGTGGCCACAGAATATGTATCAGCCAGGTTAAAGATAGGAGCGCGCTGTCACCGGGGAATATGTGCGCAGGGAGTATGTACACCATAGTTACACCATACAGTTTAAAGTAGCCAAGTTAAAAAGCAATCCCCCTATTTAAAAAAAAAAAATCTATAACTAATACACATACAAAAATGCAACAACTTTACACAATTTTAATGTCTGGCGGATAGGAGGCCAAATCCAACCCATTTTGGTGGCCATATCCGGCACTTTTCTCGCTAATGCTGTCTCCACACATAATGGCTAAGTCTGACCCATGCACCGCAGGGCCTACCGATCAAGATGTCAAGTAGCTGGCTAAGGGCACTAGCTTTAATCACTTCTTCCACCTGTTGCAGTGTCAGGCTGGCAAGACTTGACACAACACCAATTTCTCTCTTATCACCAAATACTTAGCCCAATATCATTTACCTAAGATTGTTACTTTTTGATCACCCCTAATGTATCACATAACTATTTCTACCTCTTTATCAAAGCTAATTAAACACATCAGTCTGAACATTTGAGGTCAACAAGTGCAATTTCCACATCTGATTATGGATAGTATTATCTGTGCTGTTTGTTAACTCTTGCAGCCAGCAACGCAGCTCACCTGGTTGCAGCTTTATAGAGGTAATTTAAGGATTGCAGTTGACTGATAATTTTGGCTTCAAGTTCTGCCTTCTGTTCCACAAGGTCGGAAAGCCTGTCTAATTGGGCTTTCCTAACCTCCGAGCTATTTAGTTCGTTAGTTGATTAGAAGTGGGCGGAGAGGAATGTAGGTAGGGATATAACTACACTCACCAAGTTAGCTTATTTTGGCTAATCAAGCCATTGAGGTCCTCTTCCGCTTTCTTGATGTGAACCTTGTGCTGAGCTTGTAGCTTCCCTCGACTCTTCCTCTTAGCCCCTTCGACCTATGGTAGGAACAAGTGGTCAATCAAGCTGTACGGAGTACATTGTGCATGGTTCTCGAACTCAACAACCATCTATCAATCCACAAGATACTTACAGGTTTATTCAAGGCTTTAAGCAAATCAGTTGCCATAGATGTGGGAGGTTCCGCTGATGGGTTGCGCTCATTAACTCGGGTAGCGCGCTTTTGGGGTCTGGAGGAGAGGCTCTTTGCATCATTTTGTAATCCTGGCTTGCTTGCCATCTTTGTCATCTAGCAAACAATGGCCTATCTTATTGCTGGGGTCCTGCTATGCGAACAGGGCTGCATTTTGTGATGATTGAGAGGTACTCTGTAACTATTAATTACATGACTGTAATTCGTTTCCCAAATTGAAAACCATGAAACCCCGGTGGTACTCCATACTGTAACCACTGGCTACCCCATCCTCACTTTAAGTCAAACTTTGCTCCCGTAGTCATCGGTAGCTACTCAATTACCAACGCTTAGACCAAGAGATATGTAGTTGTGGCAGCAGAGCTGAGGGTACGGAGTACAGAGTACAACTCTTGGCTGGGGCTCAAGCCATATGAGCCAATGATTGGAGGTCGATCTTTCTGGTTCGAAGAAATCTTGGCAGGTGCCAAGACTGATCACCTTCACATTACTCCGTAATTATGGGCAAATTCCACATGTATGAGTTTGGTTGGAGTGCCTGGCTTGATTGTGCTCCATACGGAGTACTTCACTCATCAGTCTCTGCGACGCTCTCGACTACCTCCCCGGCCGGCCACAGTAAAGCGGTTAAATCCTTACGCCCAAAGGCTTTGGGAACCGCTATCCTCATGGGTTTAGCAGGGCCGAAAAAGTGAGTGGAATCGTACATAACGTCCCATCGTCAGCTTTCCTACTAACAGCCAATAGACGGACCAAAATTTCCCACGACCCGAACAATATAGCATGGTCTAGGTCAACCACAGGATATGGCCACCGAATTATGAGTGCGCAGGGATGGACCCCTGGTGCATTTTTGGGAGCACCGGGTGCTGCCCACTCTTCCTGCTATACGGCCGCGAGTGCTTCGCATATCCGAGTTGTGCTCAAAGATGATACGCTTGGGCTAGGAGCTCGCCCCCGAAATCCACTTGCAGAAGATGAACCTACAGGGCTGGATGCCTTTCAGGATCTATTAGGTCGCCTAAACGGAAAGAGTGAGGTGGAGCTGGTCAAGGAACAACGCCGAAGGGAGGATATCAAACTTCTCAGTTTCGTGGAGAGAAGGTGGAAGAGCATGGCTTTTGTGCCGGGCGGATACCTGGTCAAGGAAGATCCGGCAAGGACTTTAGTTGTGGCAGAACAAGCCAACAAGGATGACTCCAGTGACCCGAAGTCGAGGCAAGAAACGACGCAGAAACGTCCCAAAAAGGAAAAAAGAAAGGAGAAATCTCGACATAGGGAAGAACCCATAGACTCGAGATCAATCTCCTCTAAACCTGAACGGGGCACTATTAACTCCGCCAATCAAACCTCCGATGATGAAAGTACGAACATCGTGCCAAGTGAAAGCAAATCGCGCAAGAAAGAAAAGAAGAAGAAGTCAAAAAAAAGGAAAATGGATGAGGTCAATGAGGAAGAATCGGTCCCCGATGGCCGAATCGGCTGCAAGGGAATCTTACCCAACAAGCAATCTGCTCAGCAATCCACTGGAGAACGATATATCAGCGGGGACAGTATGATCAATGCTAGGGAACATCGACCACTGGGCCGTCAAGTCATACGAAGTCGTTATATTCAACAGAAGAAGATGGCGTTGTTGGACGCTAAGTCATTAAACGAGGTATAGATATCTTGATTCCGTGTGTATATCCTCAGATTGACTGACAATTTTTTGCAGATTTTTATGACATCTTGAATTTTCTGAGGCGGCGCCTGCCTGTTTGAGCCGCAAATTCCTGGGACTTGATGTCGTATCAAGCCTTCCTTGTCTTCGCTTTTTAATTCTATATAATTGCTATATCTTGATAAAAAAAAGGCATGCAAAGGGAAGCTGAAACTTTTTTGTTTCTGTTGCTCTACTGTGAAAAGTTCCCTTGCAAGTTTCTGACATGTATGTTTGTGGGCTTACTATACCGTTTTCTGTCTTCCCGGATTGATACCATAAAATATTCTCACCAGCTATGTAAAGAACGTATTACATATCATGTCATATGCCAAATCTGCATCAACCAGATTCACCTTTTTAATTTCCCCCCTCCACACATTGCTACTGCCATATGTTTAACCCATATTATCTTGCCAGTTGTCTCTATAATTGTTAAACCCAAGCACAAAATAATGAAACTGTATTGCTCGCACAACCTTCTTTTTGTTCTTCCAGTCCTCCAAGTGGTCCGGCACGAGTTTCTTTCCCCAAATACTTCAATGAAATATGGCCCAGCATGATTCTCTTTCCACTTCGGGGGGCCTTGGTCTTGCTAGGCTTGAAGGCCGCCTTGCAGAGAGCTTCTTTGCTCCTCATACTCCCACTTATGGAAGCAAGTTTCAGTTGGACGTCAGCCCGGTTCACTCCACATCTCCAGTGGTAAGAACACCATCATCAGTGATGTTTCATTAAGCAAATCTAAATGACAACTTCGGCCAGTCTCAACCTAGCAACCTGAAACCGGCCACAACCTGTGCCCTGAAGCACAAAGGTTTTCTGGCCATTGCTGCCCGTGCCTTCCAGGAATCTGTGAAGCTTCCAGACGGCCCACCACCGGCAGTATGGGCCCCACACAACAAAATGCACTCATACTATGAATGGCTCCTCTACAGGTTTGGCGCAGAGCTCCAGTCTAATCTTCGCCGGCAGGGGGTTTTTGACTACCTGACTTTTCGAAACGAGTGGCTTCGTCACGGTCGGAGCATTACAGATAACATCCGTGCCGAATGGGGTCTGCATCCACTTGGTTCGACTGCGGCAGTTAAGACAACCCTGGAGACGGAATATACTGAGGCCGCGGTTCGTGCTGTGGAGGCTACAGTCAAGTTTCCCACGATGCCTCCCCCAGAAGGATGGAGGCTTGGTGACGGTCTCCATCCTTATTATGACACCATGCTCCGCCGATTCCATAATCACATGTGCGATATGTTGGAGCAATGGGGCGCTGGATTATTTCAAAGAAGAGCAGAAGCTAGCGATGCTGTTGGCAGTTACAAGGAATACATCATCCGCGAGTATCGAAAAACATGGATCCAAATGTTTGGTATCCCGGACCTTAAAGTTTCTGTCGACGTTCAGCCCTCTTCTGTTAACTAACTCATCCCATCTGGCACTCGGGCCTTTAGACGTACAGCTCTGTCGCTAGCTTCTGTTAACTAACTCATCCCATCTGGCACTCGGGCCTTTAGACGTACAGCTCTGTCGCTAGCACCACCAAGCTGCGGCAGGAAGGCGTTCGTACCGAGTTAAAAAAATCAAGATTTTGCCAAGGAATTTTAGTTAACAATCGATCCTTCCACTTACGGAGTACCAGGTACCAACCTTGTTATTTCGTAAATGGTTACTCCGTGCTCCGTAGTCAGGTGTAAATTAAGGTTTGTGACCAAAGGCAGCTGAAAATGAGTTAACTGACATCATCGGGTTATCCACACTACGGAGTAGCTTGGAGGAGAATCGACGCTCTTGTGATTCGGTTGGCGCTGTTCGATCCTTGACATCAGGTACTCAGTTACGTGACCCAAAATATCTGGGTTTCTGCAGAGGCATTTTTTGTCAATATTCTGCTCTCAAATTTCTCACTGTCAAAGGGCTACGCCATATTGCTATCTTTAGAGTTCAATGACGCTGAGTAGGAGAGGCGGAACTTCCTCACATCAATGCCGGATACCGACAGGATAGCTTCAGAAATGAGTATGTTGAAGGAGAATGGCGACCATCTCTTAATTGATGAGCACTCTGTCTTGCCTTCCACAGCTCAGCAACCACTTAAAGGCTGCCCGAGCGATGCCGCCCCAAGAGGGGGCTCCATCAGCACCGAAGAGACCTGGCAAGATGGGCGAGCAGATTCAATCTGTCCCGAAAGGGATGGTGAACTCCATTGTAAACGCCCGGGGGATGTGGCATCAGCCTTCGATAAGAGGATCCTATTGAGCGAAACCCCTTCTGGGCTTGGAGAGGTAGAAAGTTCTCTTGGGTACGTGCTGTGAATTATTAACACGACCAGTAGCGTCCCGGCCCCCTTACTCATACTCTTCTCAACTCCAGGGTTCGGTGGGCTCCTCTTAGCATTAGCCCGAGACGACGCTTTCAGACTTTAGTGGTCCTGTATCACACCGTTTCCATCGCTATATTTCTAACAGCTTTCTTCTTCTCCTGCGCCATACCGTTATTCTGGCCGCTTTTGCTGCCCTACCTTATTTATATTTCGCTGTTTTCGAAGGTGGCCACTGACGGCTCTCTACGACGGCGGAGTCGGTTTCTGCGATCGCTTAGGATCTGGACGTATTTCGCAGGATACTTCCCGGCGAAGCTTCATCGCTCCGAACTTCTTCCACCAACGAGAAAATATATTTTCGGATATCATCCCCATGGGATTATATCGCATGGAGCCTTCGCAGCTTTTGCGACTGAAGCTCTCGGGTTCTCCGAGCTTTTTCCCGGTATTACCAATACCTTACTTACCCTAGATTCTAATTTCCGCCTCCCTTTCTATCGCGATTACGCTCTAGCTATGGGTCTAGGAAGTGTGTCTCGCGAATCCTGCGAAAACCTTCTCTCCAGGGGAGGCGCAGATGGAGAGGGCATGGGACGAGCAATTACCATTGTGGTTGGGGGTGCGCGTGAATCTCTGGATGCCCAGCCACACATGATTCGTCTAGTCTTAAAGCGACGCAAGGGCTTCATCAAACTTGCCATTCGCACAGGCGCAGATCTTGTGCCGGTGCTGGCGTTCGGGGAGAACGAATTATATAAACAAGTGGCGTCCGACCAACATCCCCTCATACATAAATTTCAGCTTCTAGTGAAGCGTACGATGGGATTCACGATCCCTCTTTTCCATGCCAGGGGCGTGTTCAACTATGATGTTGGATTGATGCCGTATCGAAGGCCGTTAAATATTGTGGTCGGGAGACCGATTCAAGTGATGCAGGAACGAAACAAGGATAACATTGAAGATGCGTACGTGGATGAACTGCATGCCAGATATGTCGCCGGTTTACAGAAACTATGGGAGGAGTGGAAGGATACGTTCGCAACGGAAAGGGCATCGGAATTGGAAATTAACTGATTATCTTGAGTCATGGGATATTAAATGCCCATTGTGTTTAAGTTGACTGTCTCTTTTCTATGGTTAACCGTCCTGCGTTACATATTCAGCGCTCCTACCTGGTCAAATCAAGGACTAAAAAATAATGGTTCTCGGCAAATATCCCACCAACAGGAACAGGGAGATTTGCTGTTGTGGTAACCCCCATCCCCCGGGGCACCCTATTTATTCCCGTCATATGGGACAGCGAGCCCATTAATGGGTGCCGTACGTACGTATGTACATACATACCCAACATACAGTGAGGGCTTGTTATCTAGGACCGATAACGTACCCGTCAGATACTCCGTATTTAACTACCAAATAAAGCTTTGCCAATGCAAGGGACCATCCACATTTTTCCATCTCTTTTGCCCAATCGCTCTCTCCCAGCCAAGTATAACTCCCAGTAGTCGACATGTTACACTGCTCACGCCGCATACTATGGCATCTGACGAGCCAAGCACAGCAAGATCGAGTATGTATGCGCGACCGACAAATTCACGTAGCCGTAGCGCATTATCTAGGGACTGGAGGTGAAGTTGGTCATCATCCGAAGTAAAGGTGCTCGTATCAGCACTCTGCCCCGATAAGGGATGAGTGGTACCGCTGGAAGAAGAAAGTGAAGTAGGATATTTTGATGGGGGTGGACTATCACTTCTTCTTGGCCGAGAAAATGGGGAGCCCAGGGACCAGAATAAGCCATTAAAAAATCCCCCCTCCCAGCCACTATTCGTGTCCACGGGCTGCCTGGGGGTAGCTGAGGCCGTGCCAAGCGTAGATTTACTTATTAGGGAGATATATGATTGGGCCTTCCGGACATGTCTCATTTCTGGCGCTAGATACACATCTGGGTCGTCAGAGGCCACGATCGTCGTGTTCTTTGCGGCTTGCGAAAGGGACTGAGCAGTGAGTGACTTGACCAGTTCTTCAGCTCGTTGGGTGTAAACGTCCAGGGGAATGTAGGAATTTTCATATTGAAATTCTAGAGGGTGACAGTCACCACGCCGTATGTGAATCCCAACCTGAACCCCCTGCCTATCGGTCCTTAGCTGCATGATCCGTTTCCTGTAAAACGCATTGTCGGTGTCGCTCAAAAGAAAGAGATTCTCATATCCAGTTCGAAGAAGCGAGAATATGGGCTTCTGCCGATCAACGCCAGTTTTATGTCGGCTTTCAAACCGTTCGCTGAAATTCTTGTTGAATATCCAGCGGAAGGTAGACGGCGAAACCAGTAGATGACGCGCCTGTAAGGGACATGGTATCCGCTGGGACATAAATGGAGGATGACATGTCGGTAATGGTGGAGCTTTGAAATATGTAGTATATTTGCCATAGGCCCAATTGGAATCATCAATAAAGAACGCCCGCCCTTCTTCTTTGGCGAGTCCATAGGCCATCCATAAACCCATCAATGCTACACCGAAGCCAGCATCATCCGACTCTAGCACGAAGGTTAAGGACTTTTTGCACGGAGGTAAATCTTCAGTACTATGCTCCTGTCGTCCCAATCCAGCCATTGTTTTAGCAGGGAATTGGGTAGGGTAATTGCTAGGAAGGAGGCCTAGTTCTTGCGCATCAACAATGTCTATAAAGTTCTTGTCCTGGTAGTGAAATCTATAGAGTTGCCCATCAATTGTTCGTGACTTAGTATTCGTTATTAACGAGACATGAGCCGCCAAGTCCCACGTCTCCATGCATATTCTCGCATAAGTAGAGGGAGACAGTGGCACGATATGATCCGGTGGAATTGAGACTGTCCATCGGGTCCGTCCTCTTTCATCTTTGATCATAATAGGTCCAGGAGTGTCCGGTAATGTATTGCTTCCAAAACTTTCGCGTGCATTTTCCCCATGCGATTGGCAAGCAACGACAGCACCTTCAATGTGCCAAATTGAAAACGTAAGCCAGGTAACGGTGAGGCAACAGCCGAGAATTAGACTTAAGCGCCACCATGGTTTTAGAACACGCAAGTCGGAGGACCTGGGAGCACGAGGAGGGAATGTTGATGGAAGGCTTGGTGATGGGAGAGGGGAGTTGATGAACGGAACTCGCAAGACTAGCGGAGCCAGCCGAAGGCTGCCTGCTGTGTGGGTCCTGCGAACAGCCATCCCATATGGATCACGCCGTGATGAGATAATCATATTTGTAGTTTTATGCACCTTTGGTTATCCCTATCACGAATGATACACTGGACGGATGAGTATATAGCTTGCAGGGATCAAACATATGGAGGGGGATGGGAAGTTTTGTTTCAGTAGAGAACAATATCCATCTGTTAAGTGTGCTCTGTGGGTAGGAGCAAAGGGCTGGCTGATGTAGCGGCGCGGGGTGGGGGGGGGGGGGGGGGAAATAGCTAAGCGGGGATAATAGACACCTATATTGGAGGTAAAAACAGACACTTCAGGCTGGTGGAGGGAAGTACCAGCTTGAAACCAATCGTTGATAATAATCACAGTAGATGTCCTTCTGAAAAGATTAAGAGATCTAGTCAGTATTATCAGACACACCAGCTGATACTGACAGAATGAAGGATTGGTAAGGAGCGATCAGGCTTTGTATGTTAATGAAAAAGGATGCGCTTCTTCTCAAGCATTGACATGGGGAGTAGAAGGCAGGACAGTAGCAGCATGATATGGTTGACCTAAGAGACAAGATAGACGGAAAGTTGTGTAGCCAGGTCAAGACTGCTAAATTACCGTGAAGAGACTGACTCCTTGGCCAGTGTATTCCGTACTCAAAGAGCGAGAAAAGTAAAATAACCTAGAAGAATGTGAGAAGTGAAAACTGATAACCGGGATATTCTTCACTTATCAACCAGTGAAAACCAAAAATCATGGGTTGGTCACTCAAGGAGCTTGTGAATCTATGCCAAGTAATTACTTTCAACGGATGTGGACAATGGTGCCACAAGCTGTCGAAAAAGTATCACATGTTAATTGCGGAGTCTCCAGATGATTTGCCGCCTGGGTGTGTTTCATTGGAGTTTCAAAGTGTGCTTCTCAGACCTCCCCGCCTGAAAGTTGAAGGTGGTCAATCACGATTGTTGTCTGTCACCGAACTAAATTAGGATCATCATTTTGTTGCAGATCCTCAGTGGGATTGTTTCAGAACTTACCTTAAGAATTTGTTGCTGCACTTTGATCCCCTAAATCTCTTCGTTTTGGTTTCCTGCTTCTTCCTAGAGAATAGCTGCATACATGTTAGTGGTTTATGGGATTGTCTGCGGTGGCTTCTCTGTTCTCTAGAGCCCTGTGGATGGATAGATGGATGGTATAGAATATGTGAAGTGCATATTTTTGCGACTCTGGAAAACAAAGTAAAGCCAGGAGTGTATTATAACTGCTCAAAAGCTTGAAATGTAGGGTAGTTAACCAGTCTTGAGGCTGGAGGATTGTATCAAGACAAGCAGAGATATCCCTGATAACAGCCAGAAGCAAGAATCATCAAAAAAAGAGGAGTTTTGAAACAAAGGTGGTCTGGGTAATGTTGCGTATCTAGGGTAGAACAGGTGATAACCATCTGGTAAATAATCCAAAGTCTCGTGTCAAACTATATACATCAAGCAGATTAATTGAATGGGTATCACAAATTCACAAACAAGAAGGAACAAACATAACTGTCAAGAACTGCAAAAAATAAAAATAGAGGGTTGATAAGTCATCACGATAAAACAAAAGAAATATTCATCATCAGGCGGTTCAAGTGGTCGTTATTCATGACGAAGCGGCATAGGCATCTGCAACTTCCTGAAGTGGAGCTGCTATTCTTTCAAACATGGGAGGGGCATTGGTGGGGGACGGGCTTGTTGCTTCTAATGATGTCTCCTTTCGTAGTCCGCTGGCCAAGCGGACGCTTCCTCTCATGCCCTTGACCAAATGCCCACTCTCCACTCGGTCTTGAATCATCTCGTCAAGCATTCGGGACATTTCGTCCACGCTTCGTCTTTTCTTGTCTCTATCCTTTTCCACTATTTTCGTTGGAGACAGAAGATTTACAGGGCTACCTGCAGGGGCGGGAGCAGGGCCCATAATTGGGCTGCTGGTGCTCTCGAAGCTTAAGTGGTTCGGCCGATGTCCACGCAGGGGGATGGATGGGGGTTTAGGAGGATCAGGAGGTAGGGACTCCGCTGCTAATTGCGCTATTTCACGCTGGCGTGCGGCAGAGCGAAGCGCGGCCACCATTCTATCCTTATCGTCCAATTGAAGACGTAAATCTGCGATCTCCATGTCTTTCTCACGGAGTAATGCTGCAATCTCAGGATCACAAGGCGATGATCCCCCGGCTTTGAGCTGAGACAGGCCTACGGACATTCGAGAATGACTTGAACGCCGTGCTTGTAGTAGCCTTCGTTCTAAGGTGGATATGTAGCGGTTTTTATCTGCTAGGTCTGCTTGCAGTGCATTGATTTGTGCCTGCAGGCTGGCGGTACCGTCTGCAAACTCTCCAATAGTGTCCTCTTCATAATCACCACTTCCGAAGGACGAACCTTGATCGTGTGGTGCTCCGCTGCCACTCTTGACGGACGTTGTCGACCGTGATCGATGTAGCTGCAAACCACCCAAAGCCGAATGCGACCCCGATGAACGTAGAGATTTTAAATCAAAGCCACGTAGTTGAAGCCCCGTTAAGGAAAAGTTTCCACTGGCATTCACACCTGTAGACTTTGAGCACAGAATCAAGCGATTGAGATGTTCGATGCGTTCCTTCAACGCCGTCCTGGCAAGTTGCATTTCTAGCATCTGCTCCTCGTGACGTGTTTCCGCTTCTTTCTCGAATCGTTCTTCTTCCAGCCTTGATTCTTGTTCAGCGTGTGACTTGCCCTGTTTCTCGAGCTGTGCCCGAAGTGCCTGAATTTCCATCCGATATCGTTCTAGGAGAACACGACTACCTGCATCTCCCGATACACCGGCATGAGCCTCTTCCGCGCGCTTTGCATGGCTCACAATATTGTTTTTTGCCCTGGCAGCAAATTTTAATGTGTTTAATGTTTCATTCGTGTGTGTATTGGCAGCTGTATTACCTCCTGTTGATCCTATTTGGATCGTACAGAGAATACTGACCAATGAATTTCCCGACAGAGCGGGTTGCAACAATCGCGTAAGCTTGCTGTCTCGGTATGGGAGATGCTTTCCATCGCGATCCGAGTGGCTTGTCGCTTTATCCTTGTCACCAGACAACCTCGCAATAACCGTACCAAGAGTGAGTAAACTTTTATTAATGTGAGCACCTTCAGTTCTTCTCTCCTTGTTTTCAGCTGCACGCTCGGAGCCGGCCAAATCGATCAAGCTGAGCGTTGAGACCCGTACACCTCCCGGCACTAGACCCGTGCGCCTTTCATGGCCCGGGGTAGAGGCTGCGCCTCGTTCTCGACTTTCAACCACAATTTGAACCACGGCATGACTTCGTGAACTACGGGCGTTAAACTGGGTACTTCCGGTCCTCCTGGCATGGTCTCCCCTGGCAATCACCCTGAGTAGCTGCGTCGGACTCTGAACTATTTCTTCTTTCAAGGGTGTCGCATATACACCTCGCTTGCTATCTTCTCGCAGCTTGATTTCTTCTTGTTGCCCTGCGCCCGGTCCTATGCCGGCGGACGCTGGGGTAGAGAGAAGATCATGAATTTTCTCATTATAAATTTCCAAATAGCTCACTCGCAAGAGGAATTCGCGATGAGGGGTCTCACGAATGTAGGAGAAAATATCGGTGATTGCTAAGGGTATGACTCCGGGTGATGTGGCTGTACCTTGCATTGAAAATGTTTTACCAGTACCCGTCATTCCGTACGCAAAGACGGTTCCATGGTAACCCTCCATAACGCGGCGAACAAGTCGCTTTGCGCATGCATCGTAAACCTTAGCGTTGGTATCATGGGTCGCAAAAACATTATCTGTAAATTTAGGTCAGTTCGCACGAGTAGGGACAGTTTCTCCAGAGGCTGGGTTGAAACATCGGTATCGGCTTACCATAGAAATAGTCCCCCCCTTCTTTCCCACGATAGGACACCAAAGATCTCCTCCCGTCCACTAGCCACTCGACTTCCGTTTTGCTGCTATCATTGCTTGTGGAATCAGGACGAACTCTGACACTAACGATCACATTGCCTTTTCCTTCCTTCATTTTTGATCCGCGTTTGCTTGTGCCAGGTTGTGCGGCAGGCTCTTCCCTTCTCCTTCGACCGTTGTCATCGCAATCGTCAAAAGTAGTCGCACTAGTAGAATAGGTTGATCCCTGTGCTGAAGAGCTCCGGCTCGGTGTCGGCGATTGGAGCGTAGAAGAGCGGATTTCTGTACTTCGGCCTGTTTGAGTCGAACTGTCTTCTCCGCTGCTATCCTGAAAAGCCGTAACTCCAGAACTATTGGGGGTGTTCGTAATTCCTGTATGGATTCTATGGGATTTTTTGGATTTTAAGCCACCCGATGGGGTACTAGAATCTAAAGGGCGAGAATTGGCGGCCGGCAAATTGTAAAGAGATGAAGAACTGGAAATGAGCGATGCACGACTAGCCATTTTGGAAGGATGTGGGAATGCAGCGACACTAGCAGCTCGTCGTACCGCTCTCTCGGGACTGTTTGATATATGACCCATAGACGGCGATCTTCCCGTAGCATTATTACTATTGAAGGTAGGCGACGGGATAGTAGATTTTGCAACTGTCTTCACGGCCGAAGGAGTGCGCAATTTGGTAGAGGATGCATGGGTGGCAGGAATTCTCGCATCGGCGGGTCCTGGCGTGCTCCTTTTTAGTTTGCCTGTGGGTAGAGGTGGAAGCACTGTGGACGGAGGGTTCGTGGTTGGGCGCGACGGTTGTGGTGTCGTTGAAGTCATTTTCCAAGCATCTGTCGAGTGATAAGTTATGAATGCAAAGGTGCCGGTTCATTGGGACAAGTACAGGTTAGCGGGGGATGGTTATAGGTGTGTATTTCTGCATATAATATGCAATAACCGCTGAAACTGAAGGAGTGGTGGTTTTAGTTATGCAGAGGACAAACCAAGCTCCTCTGCGCTCTGTACTTATTTGATGTGGGCTGCAATTCATCAACGACTACTCCGTATTCTCGTGGGGGGACAGAACAGATTCAAATCTCATGAACATCGGGTGTTCTGTATCATAATCAAAATAATAGCAATGATTGAAGACAGACAGAGATATTTCTATGGGAAAGAGGACTTCATAGCATGGAATCCCGAATTCATGCCCATCAGTTTTCAAGGCTCTAGCTTCAGGGGGAGGGTTCATTCAGGGGAGGAGAGGTAGGAAAGCAAAGAGCCTGCGTCCGTAACCCCGTCCGATTGGCTAAGCTAAATCTCCATGACAGCCGCGAAACACTACAGAGTACGGAGTACGTTGGACTCAGCAGTGCGCCGTACACATGCTGGTGGACGGCTCCGTACGGAGTAACTAGTTATGTACTCCGTACTCCGTAGTTAGTTAGGTTCATAGTTACTTGGTTTAGCATTAGTCAGCCAATCCCAGGAAAACCTGCGACCTCCGTTCTATTGTTAGCTATTGTTATCTTTCCTCGACATTCTTATCGCGGCGGATGACGGAGTGTTCCCTGACGACCGACAAAAAACAGGCTATACCTCCACATGTCGAGCACTCCCTGAGGCGAAATCGGAGTCAGATATCAAAAGATTCGATCAAAGACAATCAGGTGTTCGCTGTGAATGTTTTCTCGCCATGTCAGTTGGATTTATCTCGCCAGTAGTTAAGAAAGCACCTGTTGACTTGAGGTTCTCCCTGTTCTAGGTTTGAGAAGTCGCTTTACGACCTCATACGAGGCCTCCGAAATCACAAGGGTAACGAGGGTGAATATATCCAAAATAGCTTACGAGAATGCCGAACGGAGATTAAGTCACAGGATATGGGTCAGTGTTTTTCGTTGACGTCTCGGAGCATACCAGCTCATCTTCCTCTTAGATAAAAAAGCGACCGCCCTGCTTAAATTGATATACCTTGAGATGTTTGGATACGATATGTCGTGGGCGGCATTCCATGTACTCGAAGTGATGTCCTCGCAAAATTATCTTCAAAAAAGAGTTGGATATCTTGGAGCGGTCCAAAGCTTTCGACCCGATACTGAGGTCCTAATGTTGACCACCAACCTCCTCAAGAAGGTCCTATATTTCATCTCGCCAGTTTCCTTATTGAATTCATACTTAAATCTTTCTTAGGATATGGTTTCTCCGCTTGTGCCTACAATGTCGTTGCCTCTCTCTACTTTGCCTCATATCATATCACCATCCCTTGCGTTGTCGCTCCTTTCAGACCTGCTGCCTCGCCTCTCCCACTCTCACCCATCAGTTCGAAAAAAATCCGTTGTTAATCTTTACCGCCTTTCTCTTGTGTATCCGGAAGCACTACGGCTCGCGTGGCCAAAGATGAAGGAGCGCCTGATGGACGAACATGAAGATAGCAGCGTAACTGCAGCGGTGATAAATGTCGTGTGTGAGCTTGGTTGGAGGAGACCCCGGGATTTTCTACCCCTTGCACCGAGATTATTCGGACTACTAGTAGACGGTGGCAACAATTGGATGGCGATTAAGATTGTTAAACTAGTAAGTTTTCTCATAAAACGTTTCTGATCGGGTGCTAAACGTGTTAGTTTGCTTCGTTAACGCCCTTGGAGCCGCGACTCGTTCGCAAGCTCCTTCGACCCCTAACGACCATTATCCAAACAACGTCGGCCATGTCCCTTCTTTGCGAGTGCATCAACGGAGTTATTCAGGGCGGGATCCTTGAAGGCTCAGAAGGAGTCCGAGAGGGAGAGGTCATCGCACATTTATGCGTCGAGAAGCTTCGTGCGATGCTTGTTTTGGGAGAAGACCCGAACCGTAAGCCCAGAAACGTTTCACTAAAGATTAACCCTTCCCTGACCGTATTTATAGTGAAATATGTTGCTCTCCTCGCATTTAACAGAATAGCCCTCTCGCATCCAATGCTCGTTTCCCAACAACAGGACGTACTTATGGACTGTTTGGATGACAACGACGTATCGATTCGGCTACAGGCATTGCAACTCGTGTCGAGGATGGTAACCAATGAAAATTTACAACTTGTGGTCGATCGGTTAATCACGCAACTTCGAACTTCCCCTCTACTAGACACAACAGTAGCAAAATTAACTCTTGAAGTAAAACCGTCTGCGGATATTGAAGGCGAAGACCCTGAAGAACCATTGGAGATCACAAACAAAAAGCAGGATGGAGTGCTCGCTCTCCCAGCCGATTACCGCGTAGAAGTTCTCAAACGGATTTTAGAAGTGTGTTCTCAAAATACTTATTCCGCCATCGTTGACTTTGAGTGGTATGTCGACGTTCTGGTCCAGCTTATGAAGCTAATTCCCCCTCTGAACGAACCTCGGAACAAGCGAGCCATGAAACCGACCGAATTCTTAGGAGAAAAGGAAGACCTCGCGTCACAGATCGGGTTCGAACTCCGCAACGTTGCGGTCCGGGTGAGGACCGCAAGGCCCAAGGCCACGCGTGCTGCCGAGTCCTTGGTTTTAGTGGAGAACCGAGCAGCCCTGTTCCCAATTACCCCCGCCTCGGGAGTTGCAATACTAGAAGCTACAGCCTGGGTAGCGGGCGAGTTTTCCGAGTATCTTTTCACGCCGGAGCAGGTGCTATCTTCGTTGATTCATCCATCGAATTTGGCCCTGCCATCAAGAGTATTGTCTTCATATCTTCAGACCATCCCCAAAATTTTTGTTCGAATAACAAGCCATCATGTTTGGAGTGCAGCAAAGCAGAGTGAGATATCAACTCTGCTTGCAAATGTTATTATTTTCTTGGACAAACTCTCTTCACATCCTGATTTGGACGTGCAGGAGCGCGCTCTTGAATTTCTGGAACTTTTCCATATCACTGCAGAAGCAATTTCCACAGCAGACCCTGGAGGGGACGAGGGCCCTCTACTTTTATATTCAGCCATTCCTAGGCTCTTCTCTGGTCTTGATCTCAACCCAGTTGCTGCCGATGCTCAGAGGAAGGTACCAGTACCAAATACCTTAGATCTGGAATCGGTGCTTGATGAGAACGTACCTTATATCTTGAGAGAATCAGAGAATAGTCGTCTCGGTTGCTGTGGTCAGAATGATCTCAACTTTTTCTATCATGTACAATTGCCTTCTCCTAGCGGAAAACCGCTCCCGAAGGAGACTCTGGCATGGGGGAAGTTGCAGCCTACATCGTACCAAAACCTATCGGATGACATTGTTGATACAACGGAGGTAGCAAGACGACGGGCAGAACGGAAAGAACGGAATGATGATGACCCTTTTTACATACGACAGAAGGACAACCTTTCCGGACCATCCTCTCCATTGCATCACGCAGACCACAATGTCAACAGTGAAAACATCGACATTGATTCAATACCCATAGTTGATCTGGCTCTTGAGAGTGCCCAGGCGCTCGAGGCACGCCAAGGACCAAAAGCTGTTGATCGCCATGAGAATGTCGAAATCATAGCTGACGAAACCATTGACTTATGTGAGAGTCCTTCGAACGAAAAATTGCTCTTTCGGTCAGGCAGAGCGAGGAAGCCGCTGCTTGAAGTGGATTCAAGTAGGCTCGGCCGTCTCCCGCTTGAAGAAAAGAATGACACTAGTCACCATGTTAATCAATTGGCACACAAAGAGTTTGAGGCTGTAGAGATGGCCGAGGCCATGGCAAGAATCGAAAGGGTTCGATTAGAAATGCAACGTGTTTCTGAACGCATACACATTGATGAAGATATACCTCCGGAAGGTACCCTAGTGAAACGGAAAAAGAAAAAGAAAGGTCCTGACTCAGTGAATCAGAAACACACCAAGGGGTTAGTGGTCAACTACAATATGCATGGAGATGATGTGGCAGAATCCAAAAAGAAAAAGAAAAAGAAAAAGAAAAAACAAACCACCAAGAAGGAAACCCGTTTGTCACCAGGCTGAGCTTATTGAGAGCATCTTGAAGTTTGCATTTTGAACAATCAAGTTGCTAGAGCACTGTATGGAACTGTAACAGGCAACTTTCTCCTTGTCAATACCACAGCAGTGATTTTCTTACCCACAACGAAAGCTCTTGTCACTTGATAGCTTTTGGTCTATAACAGACACATTATTAACATGGCTCATGTTCCATGCGTAACTTTTCACTCAATGCAAAATGTAGGCTCAATAAGACCTACAACCGTAACAGGAACTAATAAATATTTGGGATGAAAGTTTACCAAAATTTATTTACCAACAGATCAAAGCCAGCTAAAAAGACAAAGGTGATTGATATCAATGTTAACTTGTCCATCGACTAATCAATGATGATATCAAACCCCATAATTCTGGAATGACCCGTACTAGTTCAAACATAACACCACCACACACAACAAATGCAAGCACAACTATAATAGATATCATCAATTCTATGTCATGGGGTGTGGAAAGACAGAATGTGAACCAGAAGAATTGCATGAACATACCGACCCAGCCTGTTGAGAGAGATGCCTTTGGCTTTATCTTTGCCTTTGAAATGTTCTCTGGTTTGCCTCGCTTGGCAGTTTCATTCTTTGCGTATCTTTCATTTGCTCTTCGTTGTTGTGGAGTCTGAGCCTGGGTTGTGGAATTCAGTCAGTTAATGTTTGATGGCACCCTAGATAAGGGGGACTATACCATTGTGCTAGAGGTAGAAGAGCCAACTCTTTCAAATTTCAGTGTTCAATTGGCCTTATTGTTGGCGTAGAGTGTAGTTAAATATGTGTGTGTCTGATGATCAATGAAAGCGAGTTGGGTTGATATAATATGATGTTGCCCACCAAGAAGGGAAATTGCCAGTTGTCCTTTTCACTCAAACCATTTCCTGAACAGCTGTGGCATACAGGTCATTGATAGACAGCGAGGGGATGATGTCACTGCCTAAGCCCAATAACTTTCAATAAAGAGCAATGAATTATTTACAGCAGCAGTTGTCAAAAGAGCAAGTTACTTCCCACCAGGAACCACAATCAGCTGTCCTGGGGTTATTACAGAAGGGCATAGGCGCCAGCCTGCCAATTTTCAGAATTGACCAGATTTTATTTCAACAGGCCAACCAGGTGTAGTTTTTTGGAGACGCACACAAAGCTCTTTCACAACAGATTTAGCATCTTTATGTAATCACTGGGAAAGTTTTTAACTTTTTATTGAAGCTCAGGCAGGTTGGTATCTGAAAGAGATAAGTTGACGATCTGAGATGACTTAAAGAAATACAGGATGGCTGTGAGGGTCAAAAGCACATTGAAAATTTATTTTAGTGTCATAGTAAGCTAAGGATGTACTCTGTACAGAGTACTTGGGATTGTATAACCACCTGATGACATGACCGCAGAGCGCTCACAAATTTTCAAACCTCAATTGAGCACAGGCTCATAAGCTCATTGCAGGAGTGTGCTTGTAGTGAACTTCTCCAAGCTATTTAGGGTAAGTTAATATCCAATTATGAATTTATCATCATAATTTCCAGCAACCAAAGGCATATTCTAAATGTAATTCATTATTTTGCATGCTAAACTTCAACATGTTGCAATTTGTGTGTTGCTAACTGATGAAGTTTGTGGACAACATCCACTGGAGGAAGATCACTCTCCTTGCCTTCAGATTTCACATCTATCAACTCCAAAAGGCGTTTTGAACTCTGAAAGATATCAATCTTAGCAACTAGAACCAAACCACAATATAACGATGGAAACAAAAAGATAGGAGGAATTATGAGCTCACCAGCTGTAGGCCAATATACCCCCTGACATAGCCATCACAAAGTTCAATACTTCGACAAAAGCGTTTAACAGACTCAGCTAAAACCCTAAGGGCTGCTTCTGTATTGCTTGATAAAACTGTTGATTTGTACAACATCTCACCTAGTCTCGCATGTAGCTGGCAATCGTATGAGTCAAACCAGGAAATTTAGCTAGGATGGTGGCAACGTACATTCCATGCATTTGGAACAACAAGAAGGGCCTCTTCAAGGCAAAAAATAGCCTGAGCGTGTAACCCTTGACATTCGTAGAGGCTTGAAAGCTCGCACCAAGCGTCAGCGTCTGTGGGGAACGCATCGAGGAACTCGACGAGAGCAGAAATTGCATCGGTATTACGTGCCATAGAGCGCAAAAGCGCGACACGACGCTTCAATATAGGCTGCGATAACTGCACTTAGACAATTTGAAGTTTCACATCAGTAAAACCGAGAGGTGTAACGGACCACATTTACAGGATTATCTTTCAGCACAAGATCATAACCCCTCAATATGCTCTCCAGAGCCGCTTCGTTCTCGGCAAGGGCCTCCTCATAGAGTCCCCGTAGTCCCATCACGCGTTCGTTCGCCGGTCCGAATCGGGTCGTCATGCGCTGTAAGCAATCCAAAGCGCATTTATCGTCTTTTGTCGCCAAGCAGGCCACCAGGAGATTCTCATAGTTCGCCCAGAGCTCCGGAGTCTCCGGTTTTGAAAAAAGGGTTAGAGGAAACAGGTGAGAACCGGGGGGATTTCTAAGGATAGCCGGAGCTTGCTTGGAAAGGTCCAACAAACTGTGGATATGGGATGACCTCAATTTCATCTGTGAATGGGCTGGAGTAAAGTCCATGCTTGCACTGGTGTTTAGCCTTCTGGTCAACTTGTAAGCCCAATAATTTGATCTTCAAGTATTTATCAGCAGTAAATCCACAATATGTACGGAGTACCTTGTTGTGAACTTGCAAACCAACTACTCTGCACAGATGTCTTTTGTATGTATGTACATCCACAGGTTTTCAAGTTGTTTTTCATCTAGAATGGTAACAGCATCTAAAAAGTAGACAGCAAAAAGGTAGTTGCTCTAGAATTATTACACTTACAACATGCTGGATGTTTCACCACAAGTTTATTTTAACTAAGTTGATTATGACAGAGTACAGAGAACAAAGTACAGAGTACTCCGTACATCTACTGTTAACGCTATGGAGTAATTAAATAAATGTAGTTACTTGAGAGATATATTGTTAGAGTTATCTAGTTTGAAAGCAGCAATAGCTTTAATCAAATAACAAAACACAGTACGAGTATGATCCTGGCTAATTATTTTATATAATAGAAGACTATCAAGTTTGTATGGGTTGCCAACTACAGAGTACTCTGTACGAAGTGGTGCAAAATTTTGATTTTACAGTGCCAAGAAGTCACATCTTTTGCATACAACAAATTTACAAATTTTGTCAGACTGATCTGTACAGAGTTTATGTAGTCTACTTATAGAGTACTTTGCTAGTTAAATCTGTTCACCAGCCAGTCAAAATAGCTCTGGAAAATTGAACTTTTAACTTCTGAGAAGCTCAAACCTCCTTTTTCGATTCTGCATAGAGTGCGATCTCTCCCATTTCCAAAGCCCCTAGTCATTAGATGCTGAATAGAGATATTACAATGGCGAAGGGTGATGAGAAGCCCTTTCATGAAGATTTGATGCAGGTATGATGGCAATTTCACATGGTCGAAACTAGCTAATCTTAGAAACCACATTTCATTAACTAACTATGTAATTGTTCTAGGCTTTTGCTTACCTTGCAGAGTAAGATAGACCTTGACTGCTACCAACTTTCCACGACTTGGGTCTTGATTTCTGGCCAGAGTTTCGCGCTTGGTGGGATTTGATATCAGACCAGTTAATTACAAATATCTAGGGGCGAACAAACAGCACTGGCGCTCGAAAATCGGCTTTCCGATCTCGAAACGAAAATTGATTCTCTGCTTGTAGCGATAGAAGGGGGCCACGATGTATATACTGGGCGGTCTGATTCTAAGAGTCATGCGGTAGAATTCTGCCGCAACGGGTCTCAATTAGACGGTCGAACCTCAGTTTCGAATAAAGATCCGAGGTGAAACCGGCCATTTGCATCTTTCACCTCAACGCCTTTTTCAGTTACGATAGCATCGATCAGGGCAGCCGGAGTCACATCGAACGCGGGGTTCCACACGTTGATTCCATCCGCTGCAATCTTTATGTTTTCCATTACTATGTTCCCGCACTCATCCCCACGCTCTCGTGGTCCAGTAATTGTTGTGACTTCAGAATGTGGGCGTTCCTCAATTACAATATCTTTCCCAGTCCTTGTGCCCATATCGATGGTTGTACGAGGAGCTGCAACCACAAATTTAACCCCATGGTATTTCGCCAGAACCGCCAGTGTGTAGGTTCCGATTTTGTTCGCTGTATCACCATTGCTTGCGACGCGGTCGGCACCGACCACAATCGCGGCGATACTTTGCCCCATCTTTGCAAGAAGCTGTCCCGCCATGGAATCGGTTATCAGGGTGGCGGGAATTTGATCACTAACCAACTCGTAGGCAGTCAAGCGTGCCCCTTGGTTGTATGGACGCGTTTCTGTACAATAGGCATGACATAACTGGGATTTCTCATGAAGGTGACGAATGATACCAAGAGCAGTACCATAACCCGCAGTGGCTAACGATCTATAGCACGCAAAACTTATGGTTAGCGTATTAGTTCTGATTTGGGTGGTCGTCTCTAAAATGGTGGAAGCATAGCTCCCACAAAGCTTACCCAGTATTGCAGTGTGTTAATATGCAAAGCTTGGAATCTTCAACTCCAGAAGGGGTGTTTGCAACAATCCAGTTGGCACCATGTTCGCCAATTGAGCGATTGTCAGCAACATCGTGGACTAGCATGTTTTCTGCATACGCTATGAAAGACATTGCTATTTCTTCCCCGGAGCAAGTAAGTGTTCGAGTTTTCTGCTCCAGCACAGACTTCATCTTTCTCACACTGTCACTTAAATTCACAGCGGTTGGTCGGCTTGTGGCAAGATAATCCAGCTTCTCTTCAATATATACCCTGGTGTCTTCGGCATTCTTTGAAATCTTTTGCTGTGACACCAAGCCCGACATTTCAACAGCTAGAGACAGCATGGCTACGATGGCTATTGCAGGTGCCCCTCGCACATGCATTTCCTTAATCGAATGCCACCCATCTTCTGCGGACCTGATGGGAATAAAACGAGTGACATGAGGCAGCAGGAGCTGGTCAATAATTAAAAGATGACCTCGCTTGTACCTAATAGCCTCGAGTGCAGAAGTCATGTTGGTCCGGCTCCTGAAAATAACAAAAAAGATAAAAGGCGTTGTGATGAGGTGAGAAAATTAACCTTTCACAGTGAACTCTGACACATGGTGAACTCGGACACTTTTGCACGTGATGTAGTCTGATTTTTCAGCACCAATCAAATCTCTCAGTCTTCATTATTGTACATTTATTTCACAGCAAAAACTGATTTTGACTGCTTCAGCAGTAAAGAATCAAGAATTAAGTCAATAAAGAGCTCCTATATTATATAATGTTTCTCTTTTAAGTTTAAATGATTATATTTCTTGTTGTATGAATAAAAAGGTAGCTGATTTAAAGAAATAAAAGTTATTAATTTCTGAAGAAGCTGCTATTGTAAAATAAGTTTTTTTATAAATAAATATAATCTTTCTTCTTGATATTCTATTATATAAAGCATGGGGATCTTTTTTTTGAGAAACAAATAAATAGAATCTTAAAAACTATTGAACAAGACAGAACACCAATTTTTGCAAAATAATATTCTGAATTAAAGTCTAAATTTATACAAAAATTCAACTATAAATAATCTCTTTATAAAGATTTAAAGATTATACAAAAGCAGTTTAATTTAGTGAAGAAGATTATAGAAAAATATAAAATATTATTTAAGAATAATATAATATAAATAAGATTAGATTTGCAATAAAAATCATTTTTACTTATATAATTATTAACAATTTCAAAAAAAAAAATTGTTTAAAGTTACTGCAGCCAGAAAACTAAAAATAAATAACAGTAATTAATATAATTAATGTATTAAAATAAGCTCTAGCTTCTGTAATTATATTCAAGAGAAAGAATTCAGAATTCTTCTTTATATAAAGATTAAATTTTTATTATAAACATAAATTAATTAAGTACCAGATAACATCAGATGTTCAGAAGAACTTATATAACTCTTCAACTCTGAATGTATAAGAATTATAAGATTTGCATAGATTATAAGAATCTTAGCATTTAGTTTTCTAGTTAGAGAATCTTTATATTCTATACATGACTTTCTCTTATCAGTTGCAGGTATTAAATCTACTTAGCTCTTTTATACTCTAAATTCTAGAAAAATCTATATACTTTGTATTCAGTTTTCTAATATTCTGAATACTTCAACATATAATTCTTCAAGTTAATATAATACTAACAAGGTCTACAAGATAAACTATAACAACATTTTAGATTGCAAACTCAATAGAGACAGACATTAATATAGAGAAAATAAATATTAATAAAGATGCTAGTAGCAGTAAAGCAATCATCAGTAAAATATCAGTTAATAATACAGATAACAAAGATATATTCTTGAATATATTAGATAAAATCAGAAGAAAAGAGACTTTTAAAGAAAAAAAAATATATCTATAAAAAAATCTAGCAAATATATATAAACAGAACAAAATATACAAACTGTAAAAGTAAATTAAATATAACTACTAACTAGCAAATTATAATCTTTTTTTAAAGTTTGTCTTGCAGATACAATTAACAAAAAAATCAGATAATTTTGATAATATAAAGTCTCTAAAGATATCTTATTACTATAGTAAATTGCTTGATAAGTGCAAGTTATAATTAGTCTTAATAAGATAGCAATTTTGCCTGAGAAAATTACTATAAAAAATTATCAGATGTAGTTAAAATTAATTAGATATTCAGCTATTTTTATAATAAATTTCAGATGCATTAGCAGATGTTAAAGATAGAGAGAGAATAATTACTCATATTATAAAATAAATTCAAGAGATAATGTGAGAATAATATTAAATTTAAAATAGCTTATATTATTATTATTATTATTATTATTCATTATAGTCTTATGCAGTCAGTAACTATGAAGACTACCTAACAGCTTCTCTGTTAGAATTTACTTAGTATACATTGTAGAAACTGAATAAAGAAAAAAATTCAAAGTATTTCAAGGCAATATGAGATGTTCTCTCTCCACAAAAGTTAAATAGCAGATAGAGCATAATATTAATTTTAAAGGAAAATAATAATTCTTGTAGCAATGTAATACAAATCAAAAGAAAATAAAATTAGCATATTTGAGAAAGCCACTGTCTAGTAGCTATTCCAGTACATTTCAGAAATAAAACTAGCCATTTTAAGTCTAATTCAGTTTCAAAAATAAAATTTAAAGATAGTTGAGAAATATCAAGTTCTTGTTGAATTTTTCTTCTTTCAGTATAATAAGCTGAGCAGTCTAATAATAGATGCTTTGGATTTTCAACACAATTACAGAAATAGTATAAATTGGAAGAGTAGCCAGATAATCTTATTAGATAAGATCTGAAATATTCATGACCAAGCTTTAATTGGCAAATAGTTAACCATATCTTCTTAGATATAGAAAGAGTAGATGCTTTCCATCTGGATTTTATTTTGAATTAAGAGTAGTGATTTGTAGAACTTTCTCTATTAAAAAGATCTTCAAACTACTTTATTATTGCTTGTTCTTTTATTTGTCTTTTTATATAAGTAAGAGATATATATCTTTCAAAACAAACTTGATTCAATTCTGTAGCTTTCTTTGCTGCTAGATCAGCTTCTTTATTTTCATATATATTTACATGTGCAGGAACCCAATGAAGATGTAGATTAATTTACTGATTTTTAATAGACTTAGCAGTTTTACTTATAGATTGAAGATAATATAAGCCAGAATTAAGATCTTGATTCATGAGTCTCTGAATAGCAGCTTGACTATCAGAAAACACCCAGATATCTGATATTGATCTTGATTGAGACTGAGAGATAGAACTTGCTAATTTAAATACTTTATTTATAGCAAACAGTTCTGCATTAAAGACTTCAAGATATTTTTCTAGATTCCATGAAAGTCTAATATTATCTTGTAGATTGTATACACCAGCACCAGCATATTGACTTTCTTCAGCTTTGAATCTATCTGAATAGAGAATTAAAGATCTATTATCTAGATTTTTAATTCTATTTATGTGACTATCTTTAGCTGTTTTCTTGTCTGAATTTTCAATTTAAATATCTATCAAATCAGCTAGATTTTCAGACCAAGGTGCATTCTATTTTGCTTTGATTCTCTCTGTTTTTAGAGAAGATAATATATTTGAAATTATTGAACAAATTCTGAATAGTTGACTTGGATACTTTTTTTGTTTATTGATTTTTCTTCTTTTTTTTTTTCTTTTAGTTGATGTTTGTACAATATATTCATTATTTAATTCTGATTGATTTCAATCTAAAAACCTTCCCCAATCAAGATCAACACCATTATTATAAGATGGAAAGCTAGAAGATACTCTTTTTCTGATTGCATATTCTTTTGGCATTTTTAATAGTCTATAAGCATAGTTTCTGCATAGTCTATTAAACCTTACTTTAGCAGAAGGAATAGCAGCTTCAATCTCTATAGCATAAATTGGAAAAGTTTTAAAAGCTTCTAGAACCTTTCTTAAAGCAGAGCTTTGAAGTTTCTCATACTTATAAAAAAGATTTTTTTGATTTTTCCACCAAATCTGAACATCATAATCAGCTACTGAAGTAATACAAGCTATATAAAGTTGTCTCATAGCTTGAAAAGTAACACCTTTTTCAGTATTTGAAAGTCTGATTATTTGATTAAGAACTCTTTCAGCAGCTGATATCTTAATTTCAACATGGTTCTTGAAAGTAAGAGTATTGTCAAGCCAAATACCTAACTATCTCACTAGCTTTTTTGGTTTAAAAACTTGATCATGTAGTTTAACTGAGTTATCTTCACTAAACAATTTAGTAAAGTAGATTAACTCAGTCTTTTCCATATCAAATTGAACTACATGAGAATCTTGTCTATTAGACATTGCTTGTAAAGCTTTATTTAACTTAAAGCAATTTTCAGCACTATTATAATACTGTTCAATAAGAGAACTAATTCATACTCTTATTTTTTATATATATTGCCAAACTCAAACAGAATCTGAACAGTTTATCAGATGAATCTTTTTATATACTCTTTCTATGGATGAAGCTCAGATCAATCATCTGAGCTGAACTAAATAAACTGCAATATCAACCAAAAATAGTTATAAAACTACAAGAATAAGTGATGCTTATTGAGTTTATTCTAGAAAAGAAGAAGTAAAGTCAGTAAAACAAGAACCAAAATAAGAAGAAACAGAAAATCTTAATCTCTTAAGAGAAAGATATGTTTCAACAAGATAATAAAGAAGATTATTCATAAATGAAGACATCAGTAAAATTACTTCTGAAAATATTAAAAGAGAAACACAAATAATAAATAAATAAAAAGCTCTGTTTAAAATATAATTAATCAGATCATAAAGTAAAGTTCTGTATAAATAACTCAAACAAGTTCTAATAAACAAATAAAAAGAATAAAAACTGAGTAAAGACTAGAGCTGTAAAGCTCATGCAAGATCCAGGTCAAACATTAGCAAGACAGAGTATTAGTCAAATAAAGAAGGCAAGCAGACACAGTATATATCTGTTGGCCATACTAACTACACTATCAGATAATCTTATAAAGCAAGCTGCACTGTTGAACTCAGATACTACAGTAAACAGTATTTTCTATAAACCAGTGTTGTAATTGAACTAGAATCAACCAAAAATATCTATAGAAGTTATTGAGATATTGAATGAAGCTAAGACTGATTGATATGGTATCTACAAGACTTAACTTACTATAACAGACTTTATAAGAATCACAAAGACAGTACAATATATATTTGTAGTGATTAATATGGTCAACATGAATATAGTTCTAGATATGCTGTAGTTAGAAGATTTCAACCTGAATATAAACTAGAAGAACAAGATATAATATTATTAACTCTCAGAGAAAATAGTAGAACTTCTGACTACAGATAGATTTCTTTAAGTAATGTGCATTAAGAATAAACTTTCTTATATTATTTTTGTATCAGATAATAATTAAGTCTTGACAGAAGTATCTGAGTGATTAAGAGATTATAAAGATATTTTCTCAGAAGAAAAAGTAGTAGAGTTACTGAAATTAATAAAGATTAGTTATTCAACTGTTCTTA